CCAAGAAAGGTGCAAAATGGAGTTTCAGTCTCTTATTCTGGACTGACTGCCAAGTTTTAATTGCACCTATTCTGTGGACAGGCTACAACTGTTTGGGGTTGTAAAATTACATGGTTCAAGAACAAGAATAGGACTCTTAAGACTGAGAGCTTATTTTGTAGTTCTCACTAAACATTTTTCACAGTTGACTCTAGCAGTTTAATGCTTGTAGTCTGCATAAACCAGATATGTATGATTGGAATTTTGCCCAGGGAATATGGCATTTTGGTTTCCCTATTTTTGTTGATGTTTTGTATTTGAGACACGGTCCACTGTAGCCCAGGTTGGCCTATGGTTTTATATATTAACAGTAGGTGACCTTGAATTCGTGATCCTCTTGCCTCCACCTCCCAAGTGCTCGGATAAGAATGTGTGCCATCACTCCTGACTTGATGTCCTTTTCATAATCATAACATCAAGGTGTGAGTTAGATCATTATGGTGATATATCAAGCAAAAAGAGGAGCTTTTGTGCTGAGATTGCATATATTATAGATTTATTTGCTGTTAGGATTTCTCAGTCATCTCTCTCCTCCTGCAGTGCTGGGAATGGACCTACTGGGGATGGACCTAGGGCCTTATGGTAGGCAGTTGTCAGCTTTGCTACTGAGCAGCCTCCCCTTCTCTCAGTCTTTTTGTTTATATTTTATTTACTTTTATTTTATGTGTATGAGTGTATTAACTGCATATATGTAAGTGTGTCTATGCAGTGCAATACCTGCGGAGGTTAGAAGAAGGTGTCAAATCTCCTGGAACTGGAGTTACAGATGGTTGTTAGCCATGGTAGGCAGTTGTCAGCTTTGCTACTGAGCAGCCTCCCCTTCTTTCAGTCTTTTTGTTTATATTTTATTTACTTTTATTTTATGTGTATGAGTGTATTAACTGCATATATGTAAGTGTGTCTATGCAGTGCAATACCTGCGGAGGTTAGAAGAAGGTGTCAAATCTCCTGGAACTGGAGTTACAGATGGTTGTTAGCTGCTGTGTGGATGCTGGGATTCAAGTTTGGGTTCTCTGTAAGAACAGCTAGTACTCTTAATGGTTGAGGCATTTCTCCAGCCCCCTCTCAGAGTCTCTATATGCTATTGTACTCTGTGACTTGGCCAGGGAGTGATACAGACACAAGATTTTATAAAACTTTTTTGGCCACAGAATTCACTTGGGGGTGAAGCCTTCTGTTATGGTAGTGTGTTCCTTAGGATTTATTTTGTAAGAATTTCTAATATCCCTAAATGTTAGACCAGTGATCTGAGCATGTAGTTTTTCTATATTCCACTTGCTTACTATGGTCTCTTCTCTTGCTATGTGGATGGTTTGAAGCAGCAAATCCTGTGTGTTGGGGGGATAAAGTTGATGAATATATGGCATGTGATACTAGAAGATGTGTATCTATTGGGTCAGAAAACAGTACTAAGTAAATAAAACAATAAGTGATTTGGGTGGGATGAAGAAATAAAAATTTTCATGACTCTTAACATACATACAAGCAAAACTCATTTAGACCATTCAGCCAGTTAGGTGGCCACATAGTAGGAAGTGTACTTGGAGCTAGGCCCTTTGAGTTGTGAGTCGGACTCAGTCTCAGCTCTGCTGATCATGTCAGCCCACCATGATCATGTTAGTGAATGCAAATGAAGTTAATAATCTCTTCCTCACCGGGTTCTTAGAAACCTGATGATTGATGTATACAGTTAGTGAGAGGACAGGTTTTCCCTTCTGATGACTGGTAAAAATGGATGCTGGCTTAGAAAACATATCAAAGAATGGAGGGGAGAGGGTTGCATGAGGGAGCTGAGTAATTTCCCTATGCTTTGGTCTGGGTTAGAATTAAATGTAAAACATTGGTTATGGATGGTGGTAGGAAGATGGGATTGTTTGGATTATACATCTGCCTGTGTTCTGGTATTTCTGGTCAAACTAGATGTAATCTCTATGAGCCAGTAATTTTTGGCTTAGCTTACTGTGGAGCAAGGGTTTTCTAAAAGTGCCTCTTCTGGTGGTACACTGTGACCCTTGTACCTTTTCCAAAGCTGGGTTGATAACTAGAACAAGATGAAATCCTTTAACTTAAAGCACAACCACAGGTAAAAAGTCAAAACTAACACTTTATAGATCTAACACTTTATAACACATTTGGCTTGTACATTTTTTTTTTGAGACAGGGTCTCCCTGTAGCCATAGCTGGATTGGAACTTGCTATATAGACCAGGCTGACCTCAATCTCACAGGCATGCACCAGTTTTTTAAAAAAGAACCTAAAGTTTGCTGCTTTCCATATTACTTTTATTTTTAATTATTTTATGTATCTTTATCTTATGTGTATGAGTGTTTTCCTGCTTGTATGTCGGTGCATCGTGGTATCATGTCATGCCAGTGAAGGCCAGAAAAAGGTCTCAGATCCCTCAGAACTGGAGCTGCCATATGGGTACTGGGAACTGATCCTGGGCCTCTGCAAGGGCAGCCAGTGCTCTTAACCGCTGAGTCTCTCCAGCCCTCATACTACTTTTAACGAAACACAGGTATACTGATAATGGTTGTGCACTGTCATGCACTGCCTGGTGACATTTAGGCCACATAACGGCATATACAGCAGCATGTACCCCATTGCCTAGGACTGGGTACACTCGATGAGGGCCAGACAGGAAAATCACTTAATGACATACTTCTCTCCATTGTCCCCATTGTTAAACCAAACAGAACTGTGCTGTAAATATCAGAAATGTCTATTGCTCAGACATCATTCTGTTTTTTGATTTAACTTTTTTTTTGACCCTTTTTTACAGTGCAAACCCTCAGCCACATGCAAGAAACTGCTCTGCTTACTACATCACAAACCCAGTCCTTTTCTTTTAGTCATGCTTATTGAGATACAACTTTCACACAGTAAAACTCCTTATGTGAGTTCTTTTGTTTGGAGTATGAGTTTTGCCAAACGTACGTAATCATTTAGGTAATTACCTCTACAATCAAGATTCAGAAAATAGTTTGATTACCTCCTTATTTCCTTCACGTTCCTTTATTATCAACCCCCGACAGCTGCTGTGTCTCTTTACTTTTGCTTTTCCCAGAATTTTACATAAATAGAACCATAGTCCTGACTGATTCTTACTACTCTGAAGAAAAATTGATAAAATTATGAAAGTCAAAGCTTTTCCCAAATGAATAGATGTCATCACTTCCTTAGTGGCAAGTCTAGAGTCATGCTCTAGAAGGAGATCCATGGTCATTTTACTTGGCATGAACGCCCCTCCCCACCTCCAGGTCCCAGTTTTCCTGGCTGTCTTGTGGAATACATCTATGATGATCATTCCTGAAGCCATTTCAGCATAGGAGTCATCCTGTATTGATTCTCATAAGTTCCGACAACTCAGAATTAAGTTTTTTCTGTAACTTCTAATTAATAAACAGTGAAGTAAATGCTAATTACTTCTGCTATAGTGTGACCTAGGGTGGGCATGCAAGTTTTATTTGCTAGCCTGGTTGAGAACTGTCTTTTCGTACTTTTTCAAAAGGGGTAGAATGGGAGGTAAGCAGAAAATCATATACTAGGATACCACTATAGAGGTGCACACAGCTTTTTGTCAGAAATGTTTCAGATACATTCATATTAAAAGGAAGACATTTAAAGATCACAGTACAGTATCTAAGTACCATTCTAGAATGCCTCTTTTTCTGTTGCTTTCTGTAATCTGTCAGTAAGACCACACATATCTAATACAGTGTATTACCTCAATGCACATGGAAATATTTTAATATTTCTAGGTCAGTAGGACTGTTAATTTCTGTATAATTCCAAATCTTGGATACTTTTTAAAAAAGTCAACAACACCCCTATTTTCCACAAATTCAAGTTATATCTATATCCATCCATCTATCCATCATCTATCTATCTATATTTATTTATACTAAAAGATCAATATGACTAGGCATGGTGGCAAACACCTTTAATCCCAGCACTTAGGAGGCAGAGGCAGGCAGATGTTTGTGAAATTGAGGCCAACCTGGTCTACATAGGGAGTTTCAGTTCAGCTTGACGTACAGGGAGACCCTGCCTCAAAACAACAACAACAACAACAACAACAACAAAAAACACAACAGGGTCAATATGCATCAATAGTAACATATCTTCCAGTTCTGCTGTCATTTGAACAAATATATAGATGTTTATAGACCGCTTTATTTTGAAACAATCCAGAAAATAGCTAAGTTATTAGGTGAAGATACTCAAAAAGTATCCTGTGTTGGGGCTGGGGAGATGGCTTGATGGTTAAGAGCACTGACTGCTCTTGCAGAGGACCGGGGTTTGATTCCCAGCACCCACCTGGTGGTTACAAACTGTCCTTAACGCCAGTTCCAGGGGAATCCAAAGCCCTCTTCTGGTGCAGGACACGGGTGCACTCACATATATATGGGCAATATACTCATACACATGAAATAAAAATAATAAAAAAATTTTAAAAAAAGTATCCTGGGGCTGGAGAGATGGCTCAACAGTTAAGAGCACTGGCTGCTTTTGCAAAGGACCAGGTTCGATTCCCAGCACCCACATGGTGGCTATGAACTGTCCTTAACTCCAGTTCCAGAGGAATCTGAAGCTCTCTTCTGACCTCTGTGGCATTGCATGACACGGGTGCACTCACATACATGCAGGCAATACACTCATACACATAAAAAATAAAAATAATAAAAATTTTAAAAAAAGTATCCTATGTTAACTTCTAAAATCCACAGTGAACCCTAAGTCAGGTAGCAATATAATTATCTATGTTTATTAATCTCTGAATCTTTTACTAGTTATTTACATGTTGTACTTTATAGATCTGGTTTATTATCTTTGACATGCCAGTGAAGTTTCAGATGACAGGAAATCTCTCAGGAATAAAAGGATCTTTTTGATTGACTTGAGAGATTTATTGGCATTTATGGAGCCTAACAAATTGTGGGACCCTTTATATTTTTAAGGCTATGAAAATGACTCTGTAGAAGACCTGAAGGAGATGACTTCAATATCTTCTCGGAAGAGAGGTAAAAGGAGGTACTTCTGGGAATATAGCGAACAGCTTATACCATCACAGCAGGAGAGGATTCTGAGGCCGTCTGAATGGAACCGAGACACCTTGCCAAGTAATATGTATCAGAAAAATGGCTTGCATCATGGTAAGAAGGATTCTAGTCAAATATTTAGTGTCCTTTTCTCTTTTTGGGAGGGCAGAGGTGGAGGATTTATTTTGATTCTTAAAATTTTAATTTGTTTATTATGTGTATGAGTATTATGCCTACGTGTATGTAAGGGCACCCATATGGTGCAGTGCCCTTGGGGGCCAGAAGAGGGCATCTGATCCCCTAGAACTGGAGTTACAAATGTTTGTTAGCTGCCATGTGGGGCCTGGAATTTGAACCAGGGTCTTCTGCAAGAACAGTCAGTGCTCTTAACTGCTGAGCCATCTCTCCAGTCCCTTATTTTGATTCTTATTTGGGTCTTGCTATATAGCCTAGGCTAGCCTCTTACTCCCTATGGCCCATGATGGTCTTGAGCTAGGAATCATCCTGCTGCATTCTCCCAGGTGCTAGGATTACGAGTTTGTGTCTGGCTTGCACCTCTTTAAATAGGGATACTGAACCATGATGCTTACTCAGTGTACTTGAGCTTTCAGCCCTTCCCAACCAACTGGAAAGGGGATCAGCAGAGAGTATTTCTGCCACAACTGCTCCTTGGTCACACGTAGCTTCTGCCAGTGTGTGGAGAGCCATCATTTCTGATCCCTTCTTCTACTTATTCCATCTAGGAAGTAACCAAGAGACTGCTGGCTCTTGACCTGTCACAATTGCTGTAACCACATATGTCTGGGAGAAAGCAGATGCCATTCACCATCTCTCTTCCATTCTCTTCAGTCCCAGACCTAAATGAAAATGGAGGGATTGAATTAAAAGGTGGTGGGGAGAGAAGAAAAGAAGCATAGTTGTGGAAAGAAGGATGGAGAGGGAGGTGTTTAAAGAAGTATCATGAGAAGCTTGTAATTTTAGTTTTGAATTGTGACTCAAGAAAACTATAATTACATAGAATTTCTTGTTATTTTTCCATTAGCACAAAGTAGTCTTTGCCAAAAAGTCTGAGAGGGAAGGTCTGAATAAGCTTGGTGTCACAGATCTCACTGCTGAGTGTTTCCAAAGACAAGAATTGGACCTCAAGTGTATTTGTTCTTCATGCCTTGTTTTTGTGGTCCCAGATCTGTACTCTGCTTTCTCTCAAAGAGCTTTATGTTCAGATTGGCTTTCTTATCAGAAGTGAAAAGTTAAATTCAATAAATAATTCCATGTTGCTTGTGATAAGTTCTAGAAAAGTTGTTCAGTATGCTTCAGGAGTTGGGCTGGAATGTGACTCAGTGGTGGAGTGCTTGCCTAGTATGCATGAGGCCCTGAGGTTCAAGGGGGGGACTGGAAGGAGAGGGGGAGAGGCAAGAGGGGAGGGATAGGAGAGGGAGCGAGTTGAAGAAGAGCTTTTAAAAAAGGTGGTCCTTAGTTGTCTGACAACTTACTTATTCCCAGCATCAAAACATCTTGGTTTAAGTAAACTCTCCAAACTCTCTTGTGACTGTTTTATTCCATCTTAGTTTTTTTTTTTGGTCTTTTTGAAGCAGGGTCTCCCTGTAGCCCCAGCTGTCCTGGAACTCACTACATAGACCAGGCTGGCCTTGAACTCACAGAGATCCGCCTGCCTCTGCCTCCCAAGTGCTGGGACTACAGGCATGCGCCACCATGACCAGCACCATATCTTAGATTTTTGTGTGCAGCTGAACTTGTGTTCCAGTCCTGAGATTTAAGATACTTAGTACTGCCATACAAAGAATTCAGACTCTTTTACACTGGAGCTTGAAACCTAGAGGTGGAGCAGGACTTGAAAAAATGTTGGAACTGTGCCCTATGGCCGCATTTGTTTTCTAGCACTGGCAATTGACTCTACGGCTTCCTGCATGCTAGGCAGTTGCCCTCCTCCTCATTGAGCCACATCCATAGCCTACTCCCATTTCTCTGCAACCACAGAAAGATGGAGAGAGGCTAGCTCTTCTAAGTTAGGTTGTTAAACATTCTGAGACTCTGAAGCATGTCAGGGCTTCTAAAATGAGAAGGGGCTGCTGCTGGTGGTGACTGAAAATTGTATGTCTTGTTGACTAAAATGATCTGACTTAAAGTTCATGTAAATGATCTATAGGAAAATATGCAGTTAAGAAGTCACGGAGGACTGATGTAGAAGACCTGACTCCAAATCCTAAAAAACTACTTCAGATTGGCAATGAACTACGGAAGCTGAACAAGGTGATTAGTGACCTGACTCCAGTCAGTGAACTTCCCCTAACAGCCCGGCCAAGGTCAAGGAAGGAAAAGAATAAGCTGGCTTCCAGGTAAATTCTTACAAAGTTCATTCATGAAAGTCTAGGAGATGAGATTAGACCTAGAGTTTTTCCAGAGGTGACTTCAGCTGTTATTCAGAAATAAGAGGAGTATTTTTCCTTGGAAAGTGAAAGAAGGCATTTATGCTTCCTGGAAAAAGTTTTTGGAGGTGAGGCAAACAGAATCAGTGCATTGTTACTATGGTACAACAGTGCAAAGTTTGTAACTATCTTTTGTTTGCTTTTTTGGTGAGTCGTGTTTATTGAGATATAATTACAGTAAAGTTCACGTGTGCAATTTTGAGTTTTGAGAAACATTCAATCACATAATCACAACTACAATCAAAATATGTAACATTTCACTACTTTAAATTATGAAAATGAGTCTCTCCCCCCTTAGCCTGTCACAGCCATGATTTGCTTATTGAGCCAGTGTCTCGTGTTGATCTCTGCTTTTCTAGAATGTGGCGAGGGTGGGATATACTGTATAGCCTGAGTCTGGCTTCTTTAACCTAACATGATGTATTAGGGTTCCGTCCATGTCAGCATGTAGACTATTAGTTGGTTTCTTTTATTATTGCATAGTATTCCTTTTTAGGAATGTTCTGTAGTTATCTGCTACCAGCTGTGAAGGACCCTTGAGTTCCTTTCAGGTTTTGGCACATTTGAATAAAACTACCATAAACATTGATTCATAGGTGTTTGTGTGAATATGAGTGTACATTTCTTTGGGGTAAATGCTCAGCCCAGGTCTGTATAGTTTAACTGGGTAAGAAACTGCCAGATTGTCTTCCAGGAGCTGTGTGCTCTGCTGTACAGTCTCCAGAGCAGGTGGTGTTACACCTGCTTCACAGCTCCTACAATAGTGGGTGCATTGCCCATTTTTGTCTGCTTGTTTTTGAGTCACTTAAATAAATGCATCACAGTTTTAGTTTTGAATATTTGCTTAGAATTTTTAACATAGTTTTGGATAAATAATAGTGATGTATGTTTTATAATTCAGTTCTCTGGTAAACAATCAGATAAGTGATTTGCAGTTACTAATAGAAAGCATCTGATGGGGGCCAATGAGATGGATCAGCAAGTAAAAGTGCTTTCAGAGCCGGCCTCATGACCCGAGTTCAGTCCCTGGATCCCACAGTAGAAGGAGAGAACCAGAACCAGCTCCTAAAAGTTGTCCTCTGTCTCTAGCCATATACTGTAGCATGCACCTGATCTCTCTCTCTCTCTCTCTCTCTCTCTCTCTCTCTCTGTCTGTCTCAAACACACACATACACACACACATATACAAACTCACTCACTAATAAATAAATTTTTTAAAAAAGATAGTCGGGCATGGTGGTGCACACCTTTAATCCCAGCACTCAGGAGGCAGAGGCAGGCAGATCTCTTGAGTTCAAGGCCAGTCTGGTCTACATAGTGAATTCCAGGACACCTGGGGCTACAGGGAGACCCTGACTCAAAAAGACAAAAAAAAAAAAAAAAAAAAAAAAGAAAAAAGAAAAAAGAAAGTAATGCCTGTAGCAAAAGGAAGTGTATGCTTTTAAAAACCTTTTTTTCCCTTATTTATAAAGGAAGTATATTCTAAATAGTCTAAAAGGAAAATGAACTAATAGCTTTTTCCTTCCACAGAGCTTGTCGGCTAAAGAAAAAAGCCCAGTATGAAGCTAATAAAGTGAAATTATGGGGCCTCAACACTGAATATGGTAAACCTAAATACAGAAGAATTTGATTAACTTCTTGTTAACTTTGCTTGCTACTATTCTTTTCGCTTGGTTTTGAGGTTGCATCCCCTGAGTTCTGCCCAGGTCTTAGCTCTCCTCTTCTTATTCATCCTTTCAGTGAGCCACATGCCCACCCTCATTCATTTTCCTCTCAGTGTGTCTGGATCTGTGGCCCCCAAGACAAATCTCATTACTATTCTCATGAACTGATCCATGGTCAGCTCTTCCTTTTTGTGGTTCTATTTTTAGCTTAGCCAGTTTTGTTGACATGTTTTTTTCCCCCTTGACTTTGAATAATGATAGTTTAACCTCTGTGTAAGATTTAAACTTTGCTCATTGAAATCCCCGTGTATTTGTTAAAGTACAAATCCCTAGACTTTTCCCTAGATCTTCTGACTTGGAGTAGACATAGGATTCTTTTAGTCTCACCTTGTAGCCCTGACTGTGCTGTGTAACTCACAGATGTCTTCCTGTCTCTGCCTCCCTGGTGCTGGAATTAATGTTGTGTGCTACCATGCCTGGTGAAATCCACATTTTTACATTTCCTCATATTCTGGCTTTTGTTCATTTGTTTTCTTTTTTTTTTTCTTTTTGTTATGGCTAGAGAGCCAACCCAGGGCCTTCTGCATGTTAATCCCTGAGCTATGCCGGTAGCAACCCCCTTTTGAGACAGGGTTTTCCTATAGCCCCAGCTGGCTTGGAACTAGCTGTGTAGACCAGGCTGCCCTCAATCTTACAGAGATTCACCAGCCTCTGCCTCCCAAGTGCTGGGATTAAAGGCGTGTGGCACCATACCTAGCTCCATTTTTTTAGTTGAATATGATTTTATTTTGTAATTAAAAGCAAATTTTTCCATGTTAGTGACATATTCTAAGTGTTTTGTTCTGTCTTACAGATAATTTATTGTTTGTAATCAACTCCATCAAGCAAGATATTGTAAACCGAGTTCAGAATCCGAGAGAGGAAAGAGGACCCAGCATGGGGCAGAAGCTTGAAATCCTCATTAAAGATACTCTCGGTATGATGAATATTAGATAAATTGATAACAAATGATAACATGTATTATAAGATGCATAATTCTAAAGAGATAGAAAAAGTTCATTTAGTTGAAGGAAAATCTCAAGTGCTCTCAGTGTATTCTATCCTATTTTCTAGGGATTTTATTTCTCTCAGTAATGTTTTCACAGGGTTCTAACAGACTTGGTTATCTGGCTTCCTATCCTTGACTGAATCCTATGGAGATGATCAGAGAAGCAGGCATCTAGAAGCCAGGTTGATTGGTGACTGGAGAGAGGAGAAATAGCTGTTGTATAGACTCAAGATGCCGAAGACCCACGATTTAGCTTCCATAAGAGCAAGTCACCAGATCATAGCAGCCAAAGGGCCACACAGCATAATCCAATCCATGAAAACCTCAACATGCACATGATACAAGGCCATATGTTCTTGATCAAAATGACACTTAAAAATAGTATCAGGTCAAAGGGTAGACCCTAAACAACAGTACTGTCTAAATACTTCCTACTTCAATGTAGAATTGCTTCAGTACTTACTCATAAAGCAAAACAGGAAGTAGTACAGATGAGGTTGGCTTGACTTGGATTGATGCTGCTTTATTTTTTATTTTTTCAATATTTTATTTATTATTTTTATTTTATGTATATAAGTGTATTGCCTGCATGTATGTGAGTATACCCATGTCATGCAGTGCTGCAGAGGTCAGAAGAGGGCTTCGGATTCCCCTGGAACTGGAGTAAATGTTTTATTTGATATTATTTTAATGTGTATGAATGTATTGTGTAATGTATTATGCATTGTGTAATGTAGGTAGGTGCACCCGTGTCATGCTGTACCCACGGAGAAGAGGGGATTGGATCCCCAAGAACTGTAGTTTCAGACAGTTGTTAGCTGCCACATGGGTGCTGGGATTCAAACCCAGGTCTTCTGCAAAAACAACCAGTGTTCTTAACTGCTAAGCCATCTCTCTAGCCCCTAGATTAAATTATTTAAGATTTACTTATTTTTATTTTATGTGTGTGAATGTTTTGCCTGTATGTGTGTAAGTATACCTGTGTCATGCAGTGCCCCTGGAGGTGTGGCATCAGATCCCCTGGAGTGGGAGTTATGGACGGTTCATAGCAACCATGTGGGTTCTGGGAATCGAACCCGGGTCCTCTGCAAGAGCAGTCAGCGCTCTTAACTGCTGAGCCATCTCTCCAGCCCTAATGCCGTTTTATTTTATGTGTTTTTCAAAACACTTTTGTTATTTCTTTTTTTTAAATTTAATTTTATTTTTAACTGTGTATGTGTGTATTTGTGTACTATGGAGGTCAGAAGGGGGTGTCAGATCCTTCTGCAGCTGGAGTTACAGGTGGTTTGGAGCCACTTGATGTGGGTGCTGGGAACTAAATTCAGGTCTGTACAAGAGCAGTATGCAGGACTGGAGAGATGGCTCAGTGGTTAAGAATACTGACTTCCCTCAGAGGACCCAGGTTTGATTCCCAGCACCCCTATGGTGGCTAACAACCATCTATAACTCTAGTTCTAGGGAATCTGACACCCTCCCATGGCCTTGCATTGCATGGCACAGGTGCACATGCAGGCAGTACACTCATCTTTATTTTATACATTCAGATACATAAAATAAATACATAAAAATAAAATACTAAAAAAAGAGCAATATGCACTTTTAGCCACTGAATCATCTCTCCAACCCCTATTACTTTTTCTTTAAAAGAATCTCACTCCTCATTTGTTAGGTAGGAGGGAAAACAATATTAATAAGGTAAAATTATTTTTACACTTTTAGTTTTTAAGTTAAAAACTTTGCATGTTGTCTGTGTATTCCCTTTACACTCAAAAGACAGGTTGACCTGTTATAAAGTACTTTGCACACATTTTCTTTCCTTGAATATCTTGAATGGGTTTCTCCTTTTCTTTTTGGCATAAAGTATTTCTATAGATGTATATCTTTAATCCCTGCACTTGGGAGGCAGAGGCAGGTGGATCTCAGCAAGACCTTGTCTTAAAAAAAAAAAAAGCTAGTAACTGCATAGTTTTTTCTTGGTAAATCATTTGTTTGCTATTTTTGCCTAGGTAGAAAAGATTTTCTTCATTAAGTACTTGTGCCTTTCCTTTGTTCCAGTGTTATTTATGATTGCCATGTACCTTTTGTTCTTTCAGTATGCACTTGCAGATCTTTTTGGAATTTGACCTGCCCCTTGCTTTGTTTGCTTCTTTGGGGACTCTGTGCACTTTGCATATCTTTGCTGTTTACTTTTTCTTGAACGCTTCCTTAATCTGATTTCTTTCTCTTTTTTTTTGTCTTTTTGAGACAGGGTCTCCCTGTATCCCTGGCTGGCCTGGAACTCACTATGTAGACCAGGATGACCTCGAACTCACAGAGATTGGGTACCAGGGACCAAACTCAGGTGGTTGGGCTTGATGGCAAGCACTTCTAGTCACTGAGACATCATGCGTTTTTCTTATCTTGTGGAATTTCATTAATGTTGCTTAGTTTATTTTGAAATAATAGTGGGTTAGGGTTTTCATGATCCTGTCTTTAGGCATTCTTTAATTGTTTGTCAGTATGATCTTAATCTCTCTTTTTCTTAGACTAACTCTCTTACGGTTGTTAATAGGTGGATATTGGAGTCCAGAGGGCACCTTGCTGGAATTTCCTGGTTCTTATGTCCCTGAATAAAGATTTGGATAGAAGAATTTATTAAGGGAGAAAGGCACTTCTGAGAGTAGATATAGGCTAGAGATGGAGAAAGGTTAGAGGCCTTTCATGAGTCATTTATGTAGTGCCCATCTTCTGAATTTGTATGCCATGGGCTCTTCTCTCACATGCTGCGTCCCTTATGTGTTATCCTTGGAGAGATGGTGATGGGCTCCAGTCTTTTTCTCTGTCAGTTTTCTTTTACGTACTAGTCTGTTTTACTCCCCTGAGACAGTGGGTTTTAATCTGATAGTGTTCTGTTGCTTGGTTGTTTCACTGAAATTTTAAAAAATTTTTATTTTATGTGTATGCATGTATTGCCGGCATGTAGGTAAGTGCCCTCAGAGTGCAATGCCCTCAGAGGTCAGAAGAGGCTGTCGGATCCCCTGGAACTGGAGTTACAGACAATTGTTAGCTGCCATGTAGGTGCTGGGATTTGAACCTGGGTCTTCTATAAGAACAACCAGTGTTCTTAACTGCTGAGCCATCTCTCCAGCCCCTCACTGAAATTTTTTGTTTAAAAAATTAATTAGGGGGTGCTAGAGAAGTGGCTCAGCGGTTAAGAGCACTGACTGCTCTTGCAGAGGACCCGGGTTCAATTCTCAGCATCCACATGGCAGCTACAAACCGTGCTTAACTCCAGTTCCAGGGAAATCCGAAACCCACTTATGACCTCCGAGGCATTGCATGACATGGTGCACTCACATACATGCAGGCAATACACTCATACACATAAAATAAAAATAATAAAAATTTTTAAATATTAAAAATAATTAGGGGGCTGGAGAGATGGCTCAGTGATTAAGAACACTGGCTGTTCTTGCATAACTCCAGTTCCAGGGGATCCAACACTGTCCTCTGACCTCCATGGGCATTACATGACACGGGTGCACTTACAGACATGCAGGCAATACATTCATACACATAAAATAAAAATAATAAATAAAATTTCTCAAAAAGTAATTAGCATTGGGGCTGGAGAGATGGTTCAGTGGTTAAGAGCACTGGCTGCTCTTTCAGAGAACCCAAGTTTGGTTCCCAGTACCTACATGGCAATTAACAACCATCCATAACTTCAGTTCCAAGGGATCCAACACCCTCTTCTAACCTCCATGGGCATTGCACAACATGGGTGCACTTATACACATGCAGGCAGTACACTCAGACACATAAAATAAAAATAATAAAATATTTTTAAAATTAATTAGCATAAACAATGCCTCATGACATTTTCAAACCAAATTTTTGTTGATTCTCCTTCCCCTGCTCGTCCTCCTTCCACTCACCCTCCATAGTCGCCTTTACTGTCTTCATTTCCTTGTGTCCAGTACCCTGTTTCCTTAGCACCTTTCCTCCCCTTGTCACTTTTCTGGTTGCACAGCCTTTACCCACACTCACTCCCACTTATATACATATGTATAAACATAAGCTAGGATCCACTGATGAGAGAGATCATGCAATAGTTATCTTTCTGAATCACCTCATTTAATATATTACTTTCCAGGTCCATCTGTTTTCCTGAAAATTTCATGATTTCATTTTTCTTCACAGCCAAAGAAAATTCCGTTGTGTCTATATATTGCATTTTAAAAAAATACGGAATGCTTCATGAATTTGCATGTCATCCTTGTACAGGGCCCATGCTAATCTCTGTATCTTTCCAATTTTAGTATATGTGCTGCTGAAGCGAGCATTATATACTGCATTTTTATTACTCAGCTGGCTTGGTTCAGATTAGCTTTTCTGGCTTCACAGAGCCCTCCCTATTCAGTTACTGTTAAAAACATGGCAGCTTGCTTTCTGCAATTTCTTGCTCTGTCTCCATTTGATCTGGTCCATCTCTCTTTTCCTACATTTTCTTCCTGTCTTGCTCAATTTTAATTCCAACCCCAAAGGCTTCTTAAGGCTAGTGCCAACTTTTGTCCTAGAGTTCTGGCTTGGCAGTTTTCTTAGGTTCTCCAAGGCTAGACTATGGGGCCTTACACATCTTTCTGTGGGTTCCTCACCCTCTCCTGTGCTCACTGCTGGATTGGACAAGATCTTGATAGCTTTAGCTTCAGATCTCAAGTTGACCTCCTGTGTGCTTTCCAGGTAAATGCAAATAACTACTTGAGAATTTTGTTCTCAAGCCCATTGGTTCCTTTTGGCCTGTCTCATAAACATTGTTAATGTTGATACTATGCAGGTCTTAGAGATTTTGGTGGCTTGTTCACACCCTCTTGAATGTTGTGGATAGGGAGGAGTCCAGGTCTCATGAACATATATTTTTCACTTGTTAGTGTTTTCCGTGGGTTGGTTTGTTTAACACACTCTCAACTGAGCGTGGTGTTGCAGGTCTCTGATCCCAGAACTTGGGAGGCTGAAGCAGAAAAATCCCAACTTTGAACCAGCAGAAGCTACATAGGGAGACTTTGTCTCAAAGAAAGAAAAGAAGAAAAGTTGGTGGCGGTATCTCTGTGTTGCACCCAGGGGCTTTTACTTTCTGGGCCCAAGTGATTCTCCTGTTTCAACCTCCTGAGTAGCTGGGACTTCAGGCACAGGGCCACTGTGCTCAGCTTTCCATGGGTCCAGTATTTGTGGGATTTGTTTTGTGTTGTGCTTTTGAGACATGATCTTGCTATGTAGCTATGGAGTGCTAGATTTCAGGTACCACCATACCTGGCTAGTTGTTTTTTTGTGGAGAAATGGGAATTTAAAATCTGTACTACCAGCCAGGCATGGTGATGCATGCCTTTAATCCCAACACTCAGGAGGCAGAGACATGCGAATCTCTGTGAGTTTGAGGCCAGCCTAGTCTACATAGTGAGTTCCAGGCCAGCTGGAGCTATAAACAGGGAGACTCTGTTTCAAAAAAAAACAAAAACAAAAACAAAACAAAACAAAAAACCTGTGCTACCACAAATGTGGTAACACATGTCTGTAGGTCATGACTCCTCAGGAGACAAGAGGATAGATCATTTGAGTTCATGAGTTCAAGGCCAGCCTGGTCAATAAAAGGAAACTCTCACCTAAAAAACAAAAAATATCCCCAGCAAAGTCATGTGGCTGTCATCTCAAAATGTCTGTGTCAGGTTAAACACAATTGGAGTTTCTTTTTTTTAAGAGTTTGATGTAACACTCTTGGGCAACTATTTGGCCTAATGTGCCTGTGTGTGTGTTGTGTGTTGTTCTTTCATGAATCACTTCATTATAGGTTGTTGTTGTATGTGGTTTTCCTGGGGAGACGTGAACTAACATCTGTTTACACCAGCTAGGACACCAACACAGACTGAAGTGATGATTCCACCAAAGGCCATCTTGGTGAAGCACTTAGTTTATGAGACTTATTTACAGAGCATAGACTACTTACGCAAGAACACTGGTGACTGCTAGACAGTTGCATCACTACAGCCCCACCCCATCATGGGTGCTCACCTCATGGAAGCTGCATTATAGAAACAGGACAATCAGAAGTTCAGGGTCATCCTTAGCTGCATGGAGAGTTTGAGGACAACTTGGACTACATGAGACCCTGTGTCAGAAAAAGAAAAAAAAGTAAAATAAAATTCTCCAGGAAGTAGAAAATACTTTCTGTTTTTATTACTCTTTTCTGGGGATTTTATTATTTATTAAGATTTTCTTAATTGCCTAATAGATTATTTCAATTCTAGCTGTTCTGTGGTCATTTGAAAATAAGTATTTTCTGTTTTATAGTAAGGTGCCTATAATGTTTTGTTGACTGGCATTCTTAATTAGGTCATCGTTTCCTTTTAATTTTATGGGTTCTTTTGGTCACAGGCCCTGTATTTTGAACAGAACTGAGAAAGGCTCTCACTTGTCTCATCTTTTCTGCTGCTTTCAAATGCTGAGATATCTGACTAGGACCCACTACTACTACATCTTCATTATATGTCTTAAAACTTTGCGCCTAAGAATTTGAATTCTGTAGAAGAGTATACAGAAATGGCACAGCACTTCATTCACCTCCTCTTGCTCACAGTCACTGTTTTATTTTTGCATTTCATTTCTCCTCTGCACATGTATATTTGGGGGAGATATTTGGAAGAACTTGAAAGCATCATAATTCTTCCTATTGAGGCATATATCTTTTGAAAACAAGGATGTTCTCTTATCCACAATACTAGTATCATATCCAAGTGTATGAAGATTGGTATAATATCTAATATGGAGCCCGTATTTACATTCTCTTGGTTATATCAGTTCTGCCCTTTTAAAAACCCTTTATGGGAGTGTGTGATCCATTTGAGAATCATGCATTGGATTTAGCTACATCTCGTCTCCATTAGTCCCTCATTCTTTTTTATCTTTGATTTATTTATTTTTACTTTATGTGTATAAGTATTTTACCTGCATGTGTGTAAAAGTGCACCTATGAGTACAATGTCCGCAGAGGTCAGAAGAGGATCCCTGTTAGGGATGGTGGTTAGCTACCATGTGGGTGCTGGTAACTGAACCCAGGTCCTCTCCAAGAGCAGCCAATGCTCTTAACTGCTAAGCCATCTCCACCTGCATTCTTTCTTTCTTTGTTTTAGTGAAAAATCCAGGCAATTCATTTTCTTTTTTTAAAATATTTTATTACTTTTATTTTATGTGTATGAGTTTATTGCCTGCATGTATATGAGTGCACCGTGTCATGCAATGCCACGGAGGTCAAAAGAGAGCTTTGGATTCCCCTGGAACTGGAGTTAAGGATGGTTTGTAGCCACCATGTGGGTGCTGGGACTCAAACCCGGGTCCTTTGAAAGAGCAGTCAGTACTGCTGAGCCATCTCTCCAGTCCCTCAATTCATTTTCTAAATTTCCCAAAGTTTGGATTTATCTGTTTCTTTACACAAGATACAGTTAAATTTGTATATGTGTTTGTGCGTGTATGTGCACATGTATGTGTGTGTTGGGGTATGAAAACCTGAGGTCAACCTCAGATGTCATTCCTTAGGAGACAGTGCCTTGCTTTTGAGAAAGGATTTCTTATGTGGGCTGGGCTCACTGATTAGGCTAGGCTGTCTGGGTGGCAAGCCCTAAGGATCCTCCTGTCTCTACCTACCTGGCTATGGGGTTATAAGCATGTGCCACCAAGTCCAACTCTTTACGTGGTCCTCAGGCTTGTACAGCAAGCACTGCACTGACTGAGTTATCTCCCTGACCCAAGATACAGTGAATTTTTTTGGAAAAATTCATTGAATATCCCCATCTTGTTTTTAGTCAAGAGCATGGTATGAGTTTGTCCTGTTAGTGACTGTCCTAAGCTTCATTGAGCATTAAGGTGGTATTGATATTTTATGATTATTTTTTACTATTTGACTAAATGAATATATTGTGTCTATCTGCACTCCTTTTTCTTTTTCTGTTGATTCTCCCACCCCCTCCCCAACACAGATACAGGTTCTTGCCATGAAGTCCAGACTAGTGTTGAACTCACAATCTCTTTGCCTTCACCAACTGAGTTCTGTGATTACTGGCATGTGCCACCATGCCTGGCCTCATTTTTCTTAATACTTTAAAAAATGTACATACTCCTTTGCCATTTGATTTATTGGATAGCATTAGATAGCTTTGCCTTGATATACATGATGAAGATGAGAAAACACACCATGCTTATGCTGCTCCCATTTTCTTTCTCCCTTTCTCTTCCATTATTTCTTCTTCTTTTTGGGGGGGGCTTTTTGAGACAGGGTCTCCCTGTAGCCCCAGAACTCACTGTGTACACCAGGCTGGCCTTGGGCTTATAGAGATTTGCCTGCCTCAGCCTCCCAAGTGCTGGGATTAAACACATGTGCCACCATACCTGGCCTACATCAGTTCATATTCTTTTATTTTTATTTAAAGTAAAAAGGAGGGGGTGCTGGAGAAATGGTTCAGCGGTTAAGAACACTGACTGTTCTTGCAGAAGACCCGGGTTTGTATCCCAGCACCCACATGGCAGCTAACAACTGTCCATAACTCCAGTTCCAGGGAATCCAACAGCCTCTTCTGTCCTCCGCGGGCATCGCAATGCATGGGTACACTTACCTATATGCAGGCAATACACACATACACATAAAATAAAAATAATAAAATTTTAAAAAGGGACTTAAATTGTATATAGTAATTTAAAAAATTATTAAACGTATCTTGCCTGCATTTATCTACCACAGAACACGGTGAGGCAGAACAATTGAAGGAGAACACAGGAAGTAAGCTTGGTAGGCTTAGGAGGCAGTGCCTGTCAGCAGGCTTTGGCTTTGACTTTGGCTATACTACTTGTCATCTACCCTGGGTTTGTAAAGGGTTGAGTGACCATCTTTGTGGTTATTCTTGGTGTGAGTTTTCTAATCTTAAAATTGAAAGCTTCAGTCTGATAGTAGAATGATTTACTGTGCTTCAGTACCAAGTAGTGGAGCAGTCATTTGGGGTCAGCATCAGTATTTCTTACCTCTTCTCTTTCCTTTATGCCCTCTCCATTTTTGTGTCTTAAAGTATGCTGTTTATTCTCTTCAGGTCTCCCAGTCGCTGGCCAAACTTCAGAATTTGTTAACCAAGTGTTAGGGAAGACTGCAGAAGGCAACCCCACTGGAGGCCTTGTAGGACTAAGGATACCAGCATCCAAAGTGTAATCAACCTCATTGGACCACTGGTCAGAAATGTCTGTTTTTGTCACGTTATCCATTGTAAATTTTCATTCTGTTTTGCATGTCAATTAGCATTATGTAAACATTTATAATTAGGTTACATTGTTTTAAGAACTTGTAGCATAAGCGAAGCATGATCCAAAATACTTGATTATTGCATTTTCAGAGCATAAACCAGTTAATCTGCTACTGGCATTAGAATTGAAATTCACACGTCAAATAAATGTTTAGGTACAGATTGCAAAAATGTATTAAGGTGAAACGTTTTGGAGGAGTAACTATATTAAGGTAATGCCAAGTGTTAAGGCAGGTTTATGCTCTGAACTACACAAAAAAATATTGAGGAAGCATTTTGTTCAAAGTCCATTTAAATTGTTTTTAGAATTACTGCTTTTATTTTAATTTTTCACAACCATTAATCTCACTTGTACATGGCACACCCAGTACTCATGTGTGTACCATGTTTAGATGTTCATTTTCAGAGCTCAATATGATATATATAAGTATATATATATATAATTGTCTGTGCAAGTAAGAAAAAAAGCATATTCTTTGTGCCTTGTATTTTGGGGAAACTATAAAACTGGTAATATTTTGTATGATGAAAACCCTAATGAGGAAAAACAAGATACATAGATGAGAAAATTATGGGTTTAAATGTTTTTTTTGTTCCAACTCTTTTTCAGATTTTTTGAATGTATATAAGACTATGTTGAAATGTAGATATATGCCACAGAGTCTGTGTATTGTATAAAAAACAAAACAAAACAAACAAAAAAAAAACAAAACAAGATGGCTCTAGAAAACTCATATTTCGGTACTTGACCGGAAGAAGACAATACTTGCACATTATTGCGATTGTTTTATTTTTTGTACCAAAGACAAATGCAACTGATATGGCAAACTGCCAGTCTAAGTAAAGTTTTGCACAGCTTACATGATACTGTATGAATGTATGAAAAAAAAAAAAGAAAAAATTAAAAGGTCAGGGTTAGGGATCTTACTGAACTGTGAATTTTATTTCTGTTTGGGTCCAATTATCTACAGAAGGAGCATCCATACATATAAATATTATTTTGCTGTTCCTCTAGTTTGCTTCCATAGTAGATAAGTTGGTGGCCATTTAGGTGTCTGACTTTTATTTCTGCACTTACTGTAGGAAAATTTAATATATTTCATTTTAGTAAGCTATTGATAAAATAGTTTTTGACTTGGAAATTTAAAGTTTATTTAGCTTATTGTATACTTCCACCAAACAACCAAAATACAGATTATTTTTATTGTATTATGTATATATATATATGTAAAGAAAGAAAAAAGCTAAAAATATCTAATACTTTAGTTGCCACTTTTCCAATTGATGTATTATTGTGCATGTACTATTTTCAAAGATCAACACAAGCTTAAAACAAATTTATAAATTTTTATATTTTTGTACAGGTATTTTCAAACTAGCTTCTTCAAACTTACATGTGACGTATTCTTCTATAGTTTCTAGAACTGAGAAACATGGACACGTTTAGTTTTTAGGTGCTCTTCTTTGCTCACATAACAGTTTTGTTAGTCAGTGTTTTAACTGTGCTCAAGCTTTACCTCTTGATAAATTTATGTCAAGGCAGCATTGTAAACCCTCCCCACAAATCTTTCATCTTGTCTTTCTTGACTGTTTTATCTAAGATCTTCTGTTTGGAACTATGAAAACTGGTGGCTTAAAAAAATAAACTTAAAAGATGAACATATCTAGAAGAAAACCCCCAAATTTCAGCCCTAGTTGCTATTTCTCCATTGCCCACTGGTAGAACTTGTTCTTTGGCTGTACTTTGTACAGTACGTTTGTCTTTTACTTTCTCTTCTTCCTCCCCATTAAGCTATAGCACATGAAGGTCTGATTTTAGAACACACAGTAACAGCCCAACAATGTGTCTTGCTTCTTTGACATCATGAAACATAAGAAACTGAGAAGGATTGTCTTGACTTGTTAGCTGGACTGACAGCACAGGGTTTTCCCATGCGTTTGGTAGAAATGCACCAGGTTAGTGTATTTGCCTTAACAGATGATAGACTCAGATATAGTGGTTAGTAGGATTCAAGTTCATCCTTTCCAGTTTTTCTTTTCTAGGTGGGAAAAAGCAAAGCATGGGTTTGCAGTTGGCGGAGTGTTTGCTAGATAAATTGAAAGTGTTCCAAAATATGGCAGTTTTGCAGTCAGGTGAAAATCGCTTCATGATACAGATGCATTTAGCTGGTGAAGTTTATAAAATTGCCCCCTTTCTAGCTGCTTGGTTAGGAATTCTGGTTTTTGATACCTTTTTCTTGTCTGCAAACCAGAATTTGATTTTTTGGTCTTGCATTTCAAAAAAGACTTCGAATCTGTTTAGTAGATTCCATATCCTTGCATTTCAGTGTTTTATATGTACTACTTAAGTTAAATAGTTGAAAGCTTTTAAATAGTTGAGCTTTTTAATGTTGACACTTTATTTTGTACCTATTTATATATGTATGTATATCTTAGAAAAGCACTTTGTTAAAAAAAATTGCATTTTATATGATTCCTGCCATTTGCTGCTAAACCTGGGCTGGTCAGAATGCTGCAGCGATACTTGATCTAAATAAAAACCTGGCAGTAAAATGTAGAGTGAAAGTTAAATCCTCTTGCTGTTTAACTTTTTCATAAAGATGACCTAGGCAAGCTGTGCAGCTTTACATTTTAACCAGGGGACTCTGTGGCATTTAAAACCGTCTAGAAATGGTTGTACTTTAATGCCAGTAATAATCTGCTTCCTCTATTGTCATTAAAATATATACATTTAGTGTATCACACAATTCTTAAAAGGTAATGTAAAACCCCAACAGTTGTACATGTTCTGTTTTTGAAAATTGTGGCATGTATTTTTGGGTGAAGATCATTAGAGAAGAGTTCTCTAAAGGTTTTCTGTGTCCGTACATGGTATACAGATAGCTCATAATGAAGTCCAGAATCTTACCTTAAGTGAAGGCATTGTGAATTCACCTCAAGCAAACCCATGGTTCCAAATGCAATGATAAACTGACTCTAGTACTACGAATAAAAAGTAACAACAAAAACTTCTCTTCCTTGTTTGAAGTACACTGGATTCTTTACAGTTTGTCTCCCTATGAAAGCATGCTGTCCAACCGCTCTTGTGATGATCTTGTCTGAGTTTTGAACTGGGTACCACACTTCAGTCAGTATGGTTGCTGGTTCTCCTGTACCATGTATGGATCTTGTCCTTTCCTGTATCCTTCATGAGAAGTTATGATGTGGCTTTATATTGTGCCTTACTTGTACATTGACAACTAAACATCTTCCCCTTCCACTTCCTACATCTTTAACTTGGACTTTTTTGGTAAGCGAATCAGAACTATTACAAAAGCACCCTGAAGGATTTTAGATGGGTTTGGATTCCTATTTCCCTCTCTTTGTAGTTATTTATATTTGTATGAGAGACCAGTTTTGAATGGTCTTTGAGTATGAGGCGGGAAGATTAGCAGTAATCTCACTACGTCCCTTTTCTCTGACTTTGATAAAGTTGTCCTACATCCTTCTGATGCTTGACTTCATTGGCCTCTCTGCAACAGTCTGCATTTAGAGAAAGGTGTTTATTTCATCTGCCTGAAATTGACTTTTTGTTTTCCAAAACTTTGTAGGAAAATACCCATTTTGTTTGTTTTTTACAACAGACAACTCTCTAAAAGAAATAGAAGTTCGGTAGTTTTGAATTACAATGCTGTTAGTATGGGTTTCTTTTTTATATATAATATTCATACAATTATCTGATGTTTTCCTTCACTAATAAAGCTGTTAGTTTATTCACCAAAATGTCAAGAATGGATGTGCTTTTCTTTATTCCATACATCTAAAAAATATTTTAGCTGCTGTTTTAGTTAACTTTCTAAGAAATGAATTCAAGTTGCCTTCAGCAAGAATTAACAAAACTTGTGTTCCCGTTCTTTATATAGTCTTCCTAAAATTCTGTTCAACTGTTTTCTAGCTAATTATGTAACAGAATGTTAGCATCTCTCCAATTCTTGAAACTTGAATTTTGAGAATGCGTTGAATTCAGTGTTAACGTGAAAGGTTTTGGCTGTCCTAGTGAGGTCTTTTGTGGAATACCATTTCCCATGGAACTGAGGCCATTTCCACGACTTTGCACAGAACTGCAGTCTTGTTCTTCCCTTGGATCATGACAAATAAGTCTCACACAGTGCCGTAATACTTGTGGATCCTTTTGTAATCTTTGTAATCTTAATAAGGGCATTATGAGAAGATGACTCCATGTTTCTTTTTTTACTATTTTGAACACATTGGGATGTAACAATGAATGTCAGTTGTAGGAATGGTTGTTTCGTTTTAAGGAATAAGCATGTTGGGGGAAGATAATGAAAATGTACTACTGAGAGTTATTCACTTCATAGGCAGTGGGATTATGTGTTGAAGCATAGTTCCTCATGCTTAATAAACTGACTGAAATTGTAGAAATTACACCTAGGAACTGCACTATGCCAAATTGCTGTTTCGTTTAGAAGAGAGTTTTGGAGGTGGTATTAAGGTAATATAGAACCTTATGGCTATTTCCAAGTAGTATTTTGGAGTTGAAGACTTGGTGACTAGTAAAGAGCATCCAGGTTTATGCTTCAGTGTGCCAAGTTTGGGTGAACTAGGTTTGCCTCTTTCATAACATGTAAACACAGTGGTGTAGTTGACTCAATGCGGGGTGCATGGGAGCGAGACTGATTCTGTGTCTTGCCCTTTGCCCTTTGTTTTCTTCAGAACCAAATGACAATAAAATATGTATGTGTGTTCTGTATCTGCCTTTCCACCACTTTCTTATGACACTGTACTCCACTGCCTGCTTTCTGACCTTGTTTCCCAGGATTTGTCCTCTAGCATAGCCTTTGTGGTTAACAATGACTCTAGGGCTGCCAGCACAGAAGTCACGGGAGAAGAATGGATGGGGAAGGGGACAAGCACAAGTCTCCACAGTGTGGCAACCTCTTTGGAGTAGTTACGCATAGGATCCTGTTTGTGATACCATCGTAAATAGTCTGTAGTTTTGTTTATTCTCTACCCCCAACTGGACCTATGACACTTTCTATTGGATTCAGTCTTGTCTCTTGTCTAGAAAGAATTTTATCTTGTTCACGCATGAGCTGTTTAAAAATTACTCAACGTTGGTTAATAGTTGTGCAGTTTTCATTTCAGAAGAAAAGGCAATGCGAAGGTTGCTTTGTTTTTTGTCACCTTCTAACCTCTCAGCACTTTTAGTCAGATACAGAATCATCATTGTATGCAACACTCTTTGTAATTTAAAATAAAAAAATAAGAAAAGAAAAAAGTTTTGAGTTGTCGCCTCCTATTTTGTCCTTTCTCCATTCTGTTGTCTGACACACAGCAGCCACCCACTCCTCTAACAGCCTGTTCCAAGGATGTTCCCAACTGCAGAGAGCAGTAAGGAGTGGGTCATGCTGCCACTCTGGGGTGTTAAAAGGGCTGTAAGATGGGCTTTTGATATTTCAGTGAAATTTAGCTAGACAGTAGGATTATTTATTGATAGGAACATTTACTTTCTTCGTAACAATAGCTTATACTTAGTTGTTCTCTTTGACACTTTAGAAAAGTGATTTCCTCAGGAGAAACAAAATAGAAAGTCTTGAGCCTAGATGAGCTGTGTACATAAAGGCCTAGGCCAGGGGATCTGAGACCAGCATAGAAGTAGATGTTCTCTAGCCAGCAGTCATTTGTTGAGCTATCAACATCTACTCTGCCAGCACTTGTTGTAGGTTCTGGGCTACAGAGGGATTGAAGAGACCTTCACAAGTCAGCCAACAGTGTGGAGGGTGGGTAGGATGGCAGAAACCACAAGGAAGGCCCCAAGTGTAGCATTCAGTGGAGCATGTTGACGACACAGCAGCTGAACAGAGCTTGATTGGTAATGTGGCATACAAGCCTGAGGATCTTTCCTTGGTCCCCAGCACCCACATAAAAAGCCAGGTGTGGTGGTGTACATGTGAACTCCAAACTAGTGAGAGATCCTGTCTAAAAAGGAGGACAGCATCTGAGGAATGACAGCTGAAGTGGACCTTAGGCCTAGGCATGCATGCATGCTTGCCCACAACAGGCATGTATTCCTCACAGCCCAGACCTTTTCTCCTCTTTTGAGCCACATAAAAGCAAACTCTAGGTATGGTCCCCTATAGGCTGCTTCTAGTTCAGTACTTAGTTCTCGAGACTACTCTTCACAGGAGCCCTTCTCATGGTCCTGAGAACTTTAAGGAGCTAGGTGAGCCAGGTCAGTTTAGTCCTTGGAAAACAAATCTTCCATGGGTGGCATCCAGTGAGGTGTGTCCTTCCTCACAGTGGTTTTGTTACCAGATGAATTCTTGAGCTATAGTGCAATGAAGAATTTGAAAGAAAAACACGAGTTGGGAAGTGCTCTCATATTTCAGCTAGGAGATTCAGAATGGTATTTGATGTCCTGAGGCATGAAGGTGGTCTTCTGTAAGCCCTTGCTTTCCTGGTGTGAGCACACGACTGCTACTCTCAGGCACCTAGTGAGGCCGATGAACTTGTCCCTTTTGCAGGACTCAGATGAAGGGACAAGCCCTACACTTGGCCAAGTATGCAGAGGCCCAGTTTGCACTCCAATCTTTTGCTGCCTTCCAGGGACAATTATTCCTCTGCTTACCAGGCCAAATCACAGGCAGTATTTGGAAGGATGTGTTAGAGGGAAACAATGGGCCTAGAATCTGAAAACCAAAAGAACCAAAGCCTAGCAGATGTAGTAAACAAAGACTAATGAAAAGAGCAAACTAGAGTTGGGAGTAATTCATGACTGGGTCTGTGGTTTAGATCTTACCTGATGCTTAAAGATTGCTTCTAGCTTAAGGATGTAGGATTGGGTCTCATTGGAAAGTGTAGACATGCAGAGCCCTTTTCTTTAGCTGCTGCAGGCTGCTGATTGCATAGGAATTTCCAACAGGAAGCATGGTGGGAGAGGAGCCAAAGGCATGAAAGTCTGTCCAGTGCTGGCTTTGGGATTTCTCCAGTGTTCTATACGGGGAGGTTCCAAAGTCAAGGTTCCAAAATACTAGAGTGACTTGAGTGTTAAACCTGTTTCTTTAAAAGTTTTTAATCTTAAAGTATTGCTGGGATTAAAAAACAAAATGTACAAAATCTAAGGAAAACATTAAAACACTGAAGGGTACAGAAGAAACTTGAACAAATGTAAATATTCAGCAGATTCCTGAACAGGAGCCGTCAAAGCTGCTGGTGCCTAGTTATATTACAAATGGGATGTTGTCCTAGTAAAACATACTGAGAGAGCTTTCTAAAAACCTGAAATTTTTGTGAGGGAAAAAATGAGAGTGTAAGACAATGGAGTAGGGGAGAATATATCAGGTGTTTAATATCATATATTAAAACATTAAAAAATTGAAAAACACCATTTTACTGCATGAATGGACAGGCCACTACTGAACAGGACTTGCTGTTTACTGCATGAATAGCAAGTTTGGAAATCAAGTCAAATAAATATGACATTGTAGCATGGCAAATGTGATATCCAGAACCAAGATGTAAGGGGCTCTTGTGTGGAGCCACAGAGTAACCTAGAAAATGTGAAGTTGGTTCTGTATCTCATGCCACAAGCCAATAAAGATTTCAAAATGGGGGCTGGAGAGATGGCTCAGCAGTTAAGAGCACTCAACTGCTCTTGCAGAGGACCCTGGGTTTGAGTCCCAGCACCCACATGGCAGCTAACAACCATTTATAACGCCAGTTCCAGGGGCTCTGATGCTCTCTTCTGACCTCTGGGCATTGCATCCAGGTAACACACTCTACAGGTAAAATACAAAACTATTTGAAAAAAGATTTCAAAATGGATAATGAGGATACAGGTGTAAGAAAAGCATAAGCACACTAGAAGGAAATGTGGGCACTTTTAAACCCTTGGGGATAAGGAAAGACATTTGAGCTCAGACCCCAAGTTCAGGAGTCATAAGTGAAGATCTGCTAATGCTATGTAAAACAAAATTTAAATCATCTTTGAGATTAAAAAAAGCCAAAAAATGAATAGGCCGGGTACGGTGGCACACACCATAAATCCCAGCACTCGGCAGGCAGATCTCTGTGAGATCAAGGCCAGCCTGGTCTACATAGTAAATGAGTTCTAGGCCAGCTGGGGATACAGGGAGACCCTGTCTCATAAAAACAAAAAACAAAACCTTGCAAAGCATAAATGGTGAAAATTCTACAAACGAACTTTGCAACTCCTGCTGTTCCTATTATAATAAAGAGCTCCTGGAGAATAACATGGACTAGACCAATGACCCAGGGGAAAACTGAGCAAAATAAATGTAAATAACTTTTAAATATATTTCCCAGTCTCGTTCATTATGCAAAAGGCAAAATAAAGACATAGTTTAGAAGCAAACCGATTGATAAAAATCCCAATGTTAACACACCATGCTGGTAGGGCTAAGGGAAATAGGCATGTCTATGCTTCACTGGTGGGAGTGTGAACTAATAAAACCACTCCTAAGAATAATTGTGATCCCAGCACTTGGGATGTGGTGGCAGGAAGATAAGTGTTCAAGGTCATCCTTAGCTATGTAGCCAGTTGGGAGGCCAGCCTGGGCTACATGAGACCCTGCCTCAAAAAAAGCAAAGATGAAATGGGTATGTCCTTTGAGCCAGAAACTTCATTTCTGACACATTTGCTTTCTGCCCTGCTTCATTCCTCACCTCCCATACTTATATGTTGCTTGGTAATGCAAGAATAGCAACTAACAGGCGTTGAGTTCAACACATTATCATGCTGTGCTTTCCATGTATTATCTCATTTAATCATCTAAACAACCTCATGCAATGATGTTGCTGATTATCACATCAGCCTCTGAGGACACTAAAGTAGGATGGACAACATTCTAGATTGCACCTGGGTCCTGAGCACCTGTCCTAGTTTCTATTGCTGTGATAAAACACTGACCAAAACCAACTTGGGGAGGAAAGGGTTTATTCTTTCTTACATCTTCCGAGTCACACTTCATCACTGAAGGAAGTCAGGGTAGGAATTCAGGTATGGAACCTGGAGGCTGGAGCTGAAGCACAGACCATGGAGGAATGCTGCTTACTGGCTTGCTTCCCTGGCCTGTGCTCAGCCTGCTTTCTTAGACAATACAGGACCACCTGCCCAGGGGTGGCACCACCCACAGTGGGGCCCTCCCACATCACTCAACAATTAAACAAATGCCCCACAGACATGGCCACAGGCCAATCCAATGGACATAATTCCTCAATTGAGGGTCCCTCTACCCAGGTGTGTCAGGTTGACAACTATTTAACACAGCACCTTACAGTGAGGCTTTGCAGAGTGCTGTAGGACTATTGATGGCCAAGCACATAGCCTGGCTTGTGCCACACTGCCCAAGCGTGTGTGTGTGTGTGTGTGACTTTTCTTCGGAATTGACAGGTATGGGTATAGAGGCAGTTTGGGGAAAACAGTTCAGGAAGAGGGAACACCACATTCCAAGGCTACAGAACCGGAAGAACCTCCAGGAGGACAGAGGCTGGCAGGAGAGAGGGAAGGGGAGGTGGCCAGTGACCTTGAGGACCTTCTAAGAAACTTGGGCTATTTAATAATAAAATAAAGGAGCTACCCTTTGTTGAAGGCTTGAATTCATATTGTTTCTATCAAAACTACAGGAAAAAAACCAAAACCACTCCAATGAGATACATATAATAAATCCAATTGTATACAAAGGACACTGCCAGGAGCCATACACAGGTATAAGGAAGGCAGTTTACCAGTGCTGTGTATTAGATCCCTAGAACACGTGTTGCACTGATAATCTCAAGGTGCTCTAATGAGCTACACTGAATTCTATGCCTTAAAAAATACTTTCTCTCTTTACTCCACAGTCCGTATTCATTGTAGTAAAAAAATTTAAAGTTTAAAGAAATATAAAAGATTAACTGAAGCCCAGGTGTGGTGGTGCATGTTGATCTTTATCATATCAAGGCCAGCATGGTCTACATGGGGAGTCCCAGGCCAGCTGGGGCTTCAGGGAGACCTGTCTCAGAAAAAGAAGAGCAGAACATGGTGGCGAAGGCTTTTAGTCCCAGCATTCAGGAGGCAGATCTCTGAGTTCGAGGCCAACCTGGTCTACATATTGAGTTCCAAACCAGCTGGGGCTATGGGAAACCCTGTCTCAAGGAGAGAAAAAGAAAAAAAAAAAAAAAAAAAAAAAAAAAGGATTAATTGCAGCAGTTTCCAGAAATATTCTTTTGATCTTTTGATTTTTGGTTTTGTTTTGACAGGGTCTCCCATGTCCCAGCTCGCTGGAAGTCACTATGTGGAACAAGCTGGCCTGGCTCACAGAGATCCCTGGTGCTGACCCCCAAGGGCTGGGTCCAGAGACATTCTAATTGATACTTCTGGCCTTTTTTTTTTCTTCCTGTTTTTTTCATATGCAAAATACAGTCAGCAGAATGGCTGACAGCAAGAGGGAAAGTGACCACTGTTGAGAAGGTTTTTTGACCGCTGAGCCATCTAAGACCCAGGTTCGAATCCCAGCACCCACAAGGCAGCTAACAACTGTCAGTAACTCCAGTTCCAGGGGATCCGACGGCCTCTCTGTTCTCCGCAGGCATTGCACGACACGGGTGCACTTACCTACATGCAGGCAATACACTCATACACATAAAATAAAAATAATAAATATTTTTTTTAAGTTTTTTAATTTTGTTTTTCCCAGGACCAGGGACTGATCTCGGGGTCTTGTAGCATGCCAGGCAAACCCTTCACTAACTTAGCTATATCCCCCAGCCCTAAGCGATATTCACTGTTCTCTTTTCCGTTTTATTAGTTGAGGTTGTTTCCTTCCCATGTGACAAATCCTCAAGTCTCCGCACAGCGGGAGGAAGGCATACGGTACGGAAACGCGTTTAAACCTGGGCCCCGCCGCTCGCCGTAGCCGGCGTCTCCAACATGGCGGTTCCTCAAGATGTCCACGTCCGGATCTGTAACCAAGAGATTGTCAAATTCGACCTGGAGGTGAAGGCATTGATCCAGGTACAGATTTCCCGGGACCCCTGCCGGACCGCAGCACCCCCGACTCCGGTTAGCCGCGGGCAAGGTTCCCCGGCATCGCTCCGCCCTAGTCCCATTTGATCTGGTCCCTGGGTCGCTGGCGTCCAGCCTCTCGCTTTGGAGTCAGGTCCCGTTCCGCCCTCCTGCCCCCCATCTTTCCACCCGTCGCTCTGTCTCACAGATGCTACTAGACATTAACTGTACACTCAGAGCACGAGCTGTGACAAGAGTGAAGAGAGGGCTGGGAATGTGGCTCAGCTGATGCGTTTGCCAGCACTCATGAAGCCCAGCGTTCCAGTGTCACCTGAATGGGCGGTGCTGGCTGGAGTACCAGCACTGTGAGGAGGGCTGGCAAGATCAGAAGTTCAAGGTCATCTTCACCTGCATAGTGAGTTGAGACAGCCTGGGAGGGGAAAAGGGTAGTGCTCGCAGGTAAACCAGCCTCACAGAATACCAAATTAGTGGTTAAAAAAGAATTTATTGAATTTTTGTGTATTTCATACATAAAATCATCTTTATACCCCCTTCCCCTTTGGCGCCCTCCCATAGCCCTCCTCACTGGAGTTCATACATTCTATCATTTAAAGTTATGTATTATGTAAAGTTAGTATCCAGAGATGACCCTCAGTGCAAATTCATTTACTTGGGTTTAGTCAGCCTATCTAGAGTCTCTCCCTTCAAGAAGATCAGCTCTTCCTCACCCAGCAGTAATCAGCTGCCAATAATTCTTCGACTAAGATTGGGGCTTGCTGTTCATTTCCACAGTTCTGTGCTGGGTTTTTGTCTGCCGAAGTTTGCATGGGTCTTGGGCATGCTGACACCATTGCTATGGGTTTGTATGAGAAGGGTCCCAGGCACCTGTAGGACTGTTATTTATATGGTCATGCACCTAGGGGTTTGTTTTTTGGTGCAAGTAAGTATGACTTAGTGAGTAAGCTAGAGAGCACATGAAGTAGCTTAATTAAGCTTTACATTTCTTCATCTTCACTCATGAGATTTATAAACAACAAAGTAATTTGGGCCAATTCTAGAAAAATACACATAAGGTTGGACTCATACAAATGGAATTGCATAGAGTTCAAGCTTAGCCATGTGCAAGGCCCTGGGTTCAGTCCTCAGAACGGGGGGGGGGGGGGGGGGGGGGGGGGGAATGGAAGGGTGAATGTGGCTTAGCGAGTCCCGGTGTGGAGAGCTGAATGAGAGAATGAGAATGAATATTGTTAGTGTGGTGGTGCCGACACTCAGGAAGCAGAGTCAGGAGTTTCATGAGTTTAAGGCCTGCCTAGACTGCATAGAGTGATCCTGTCTCAAAAAATAAAATATTACACCCAAGACTTAAAAACGAAAAGAAAAATTATGTTTTTACATGACCTGAGTTACCTAGGTCCCCTTTTGTACCCTGTAGTAGTATTTGTGATTGCTAATGAGAGTGATCACTCCTAACTGATACATTGCATTCTCACGGTGTTCCAGCTGCTCTGCTAAGTGCTTTATGTGGATATATGATCTTGAGGTGAGGTGATGAAAGAATGGGCACAGAGAACGTAAGTAACTTTTCCAAAATTGCACAGCTAGTAAGTTGCTGTAACCAGTATTTGAATATTCATAGTCTGGATCTAGAGAGCTTGGCCCCAGTAATTCTGAATTTCTTTCCAGAAACAAATTCTCAGCCTTTAAGCATGTCTATAAACATTGTGACTTACAACAGATGGTCTGTAAAATCAGACTAAGTTAAGCTTGTTACATAGTGCCAGGAATTTAAACATCATGATTTTCAAGTTAAAGGGCCTAAAGTTACAGTGTCTCTTGGATGTCCATTCTTCAAGGCATAAGCTTCTTAAGCCTTTCTTACTGGCTGAATAACACTTTGTTAAACTTTCAGGGACTAATAATTAGGTCAAGGAAGAGTCATATCTATCTATGTATCTATTCATACATATCCTGTGTGTGTATGTGTGTGTGTTATTGGCCATGGAGCCCCGGGCCTCAAATGTGCTGTGCAGGTGCTCTACTGCCCGGCTACAGTGAGCCTGTTCTTCATATCCTGCCCAACATTAATCTGAAAGGAATGAGAAAACTAAAAGTGATAATGTTTTTGCTTCTGTTGTAGAGGAAAACAGCAATGCTCATTGTGAGTTAAAGTTAGGCCAACCCTAGTTATAGTCTAAGTCAACTTTTTTCCTGTACAAATGATGTCATTTCATTTCATTGACTGGAGAAAGGCCCCTTATCTCTTCATTGTCTTCTAGGATATTCGAGATTGTTCAGGACCCTTAAGCGCACTCACTGAACTGAACACCAAAGTGAAAGAGAAGTTTCAACAGTTACGTCACAGGATACAGGTAAAGGTGATGGCGGAACCAAGATACTGAGAGAGGCCAACAGTGATGGGGCTGGGTCCTGTCATAGCCTCTGCTTGAGAACTGAGCAGTTCTTCACACACCAGCTGGAGGGATGGTAAACATTTCTACAGTGAGGCAGCTGGACTAACTGCTTTTCAGCTGTAAGTGAGGAGACCAAATAAGGGTTGGAATTTTGCAACCTGAAAATGCTGAGGTCACTTACTACTTACCCACCCATGTACTCATCCCCTGTTTGAGTCCATCACCAGCGTGTCCTGGGTGTTTTCCATGCTGTAATTTTGATCATCATCACACCTGACTTTAACTCTGGTACATGTGCTGTCTCTGGTCACTGGAGTGAGCAGGGACCATGGGAATAGCAGAGACACTTCCCCTGCTGCGCCCTTGGGGATGGTGCTGTGGATCTGCCCATCCCTGGTGAGGTCTGGAGGCACCTGCTTTCTCAGCATGTGGTGCAGATGTGCACTTTTCAGTTGACATTCCTCCCAAAGCCAGCCAACAGCTCTACTGCTGCTTAGCAGATGGAGGCAGTCTGTTCCCAAGCTGGCAAAAAAGCTGGAGAACTAGACAGCTAAGAAGCAGTATGCTTCTTGTCTGTTGCCTGCCTAGAGGATTTTCAAGGGCAGTCTTGAGAATACATGCTTTCCACCACTGGAGTTGACTTTAGAGTTTTTGCACTGTGATTGTACTATATATACATAGTATTGTAATGCTGTATTTACTATGCAGTGTACAGTATATGAATGTTATGCTATACTGCATATAGTGTTTGTATACACATACACATACTGTATTCTCTTTCTGCCTCCATCTCCTCACTGATTTAGGCATGTGACTTTGGAGGAAGTGTTAGCTTTTCTATGCTGTGCTTGTGTGTGTGATGGGTGTCAGCCTCATGTTAGTGGGAATGTTGCTCTCAGGTTATAAATTCTTGGCAGATTTTTTTAAGCCCTTCTATTCAGAGTCCATAATGCTCCCCCTATCCCATCCCACCCCCAAACACCCAAGATGTGTTCATTCTCACTCTGCTAGTTAATGGACACTATCCTAGGCCTCACTGGGTCCTGGATTTGTGATGCTCTCAGTTCCAGTGCTCAGCCTCAGATGGCCTCAGGCTTCAGTCTTCTGTTCATGTATGAGCGCAAACCCTCAGACTTGTTAGTAACAAGCCTCTGATGGACCAGACAGAGAGATAGCATTTGGAAACATGTAATGGGGTTGACGTGTGGTCAGTGGGCTCATATTTTGTGTTTTTTCCCTTTGGTCTCAGGCAGCCCAAGGCTTTATAGCAGCAGCTCCTGCTCCAGCTAAGGCAGCCAGTCATTGCTCATAGGCTCATTGCTCCAGCTCTTAGTGTGCTGCTCATTTTTGGGCCTCTAAGATTTTCCTCACTTTCTTGCAAACTTGGCTATGTATTTAAGACGGCATGTGCCGAGTATGGTGGCACATGCACTGAGGCTGGCAGATCTCTGTGAGATCGAGGTCAGCCTGGTCTACAAAGTTAGTTCCAGGCCAGTTGGGGCTACAGGGAGACTCTGTCTCAAACAACAACAACAACAACAAAATGGATATGGGGCTGGAGAGATGGCTCAGCAGTAAAGAGCACTGGCTGCTCCTGCAGAGGACCCAGGTTAGATTCCCAGCACCCACATGGCAGCTAACAGCCATCTGTAATTTCAATTCCAGGGGATCCAACACCCTCTTCTGGCCTCCAAGGGCACTGCACAACATGGGTACACTATAAATATTTTTTAAAAGGGTATGTATTACATGTTGCCTAGAATTCCTAAGTGCCTGTTATAAAAGGGTGTTGTGGTTGCTTTTGTGTGTCCTTGCTAGAAACAGAAGTGCTCTTGGGTTTTGGTACTGGCTAACACAGAGCTGTTTTCTCCTCCAAGGAGCTTGAGCAGTCAGCGAGGGAGCAAGACAAAGAGTCGGAGAAGCAGCTTCTACTTCAGGCAGTGGAGAATCACAAAAAGCAGATGCTTAGGTAGGCAGGACCTGGCCTTCCAGCCGCCTTTGCCAGGTCACTTGCTCACTGATGTTTGTACCTGTATCTGTCTGATAAGCCTGACAATGATAATGCAGTTGTGTCATTAACATACATAGGCTAGCAGTTCTCTGGATCAGTCATTCTCAGATGGAGGAAGGAGGGACAGAGTCTGCATGGACTGTTGGTGTTCTGCCTACTTTACATTGTTTATGTTTGTATAGTTAACATATTGTATGTAATATAACTGAGGTTTTTAAAAATTTTGTGAGTGGCGGGTATGGCAGGGACTTCATGTTCTGTTTGCTCGTAAGATGGGTAATTATCCACCCCCAGTCTCACTAATGGTAGCTGGTGAATAACACCCAGCAGATCGGAGAGGACTAACTGACAGACACTGGGATGAGTGGCGCAGGCCAGTGGGAGCAGGGTGGGCATGCATGGCAAGTGGCGTCCTAAAGACTGGCTCATTGGTGATAACTTTTTGTACCACCACAGGTACTCAGATCATAATCATGCACTAGCTGGGAGCCTTGTCTGGGGTGTAGTAAGTTAACCAAGCCTTGTCAGCTTAGTGTGGCGTAAACTAAATATGGCTGTTTACGATGTGGCATTGCAAGTCTGAGGAGAGAAAGCAGGAAATGAATCCTTCAGCAGCTCTGTGTTGAAACCATAGTTGTGTTTGTTGGCTTACCAGGCTTGTCATACCATACAGTATTGCTTACTTTTCTCCCCAATGTGAGCTCCTTGAGGGCAGCCACTGCCACTTGGTCATCTCAGCATCCTTGGGCCTTGCAAAACACCATTATGTACAGTTTGAAGATGGGGTTGTGTCTTTTAAATGGCAGGAATGAAATGGCGCAGCAGGTGCTCTCCAGGCATCTGAGAGCCCAGTTGAGGACCTTCAGCATAGAGGTGCTAGTACAAAGCAAGCCCAGTCTGTGCCCCAGTGAGGTGGCTCATCAGGTGAAAGTTTGCTAAACAAGCCTGACAATCTGAGTTCAATCCCTGGAGCCGTTGTAAAGGTAGATGGAGAGAACGGTCACCAGCCTATTAGTTGATGTAAATTTTGTACTTTTTTCTGTTGTAAATTAAAAAAATATATATTTTATTATTTTTATTTGATGTGTATGAGTGTATTGCCTGAATGTATGTGAGTGCACCTGTGTTGTGCAATGCCTCAGAGGTCAGAGGAGGGCTTTGGATTCCCCTGGAACTGGACTTAAGGATGGTTCGTAACTGCCATGTGGATGCTGGGAATTAAACCCGGGTCCTCTACAAGAGCAATCAGTGCTCTTAACTACTGAGCCATCTCTCCAGCCCCGTAAACTTTTTCTTTTTTGAGATAGGGTCTCCCTGTAGCTTCAGCTAGCCTGGCACTCATGTAGGCCAGGTTGGCCTCAAACTCAGAGATCTGCCTGCCTCTGCCTCCTGAGTGATGGGGTTAAAGGCACGTGCCACTATGCCTGGCTTCTATTGTAAATTTTTAGTACGTCCAGGGCTTAGCACAGTTGAATTGACCTGACTGTATGAGTTCCAGAGCGTGGGTTTGATTCTCAGAGGGATATAATTGGCTTATTCGAGTTTGTCAGTAAAGAATGTATTGCTAATCTGAAGTTGCTGCTCACCAGTGTCCCTTGCAGAGGAGAAGGTGAAGAATGTGCTAGAGCAGTCGTGCCCCAAGTGATGTTTGTATTGCCTACAGATGTAAAAAATAGCAAATCTTGGAGAAGTGTTGAGAAAGATTGTTTTTTTGATCTTTTAACCTCTAATAGCATGTATTCATCAAGCCACTGAAGGTCAGGCATGTTTTTCTAGGACTGTGGAGGGATGATAGGGTAGTAAGGCATGGCTTTTGAGGACCACCAGGATACATGTCAGAGCAGTGAAGCCACAGAGATCACTTGACAGAGCAGTGAAGCCACAAAGGTCACTTAACAGAATGGCACCTTGTAGGCTTAACTTAGGGGAGGGGGCTGGATGCTAGCTGGAAACCTGGAACCATTGTGGGTCATTATGTTGGCAGAGTGCCATGCCCATGTTTCCCTAGTGGTCTAGCTGGAGAGGGACCGTGACAGACATCCTGGAGAGATGTTAAGGCCTGAGCTAGAGCAGTTATCAGAGTAACCAAGAAGAGAAAGTGGTGGGAGGTGGGGTTGGACTCTAGTCTATACCAAGAAGGGTGAAAGAGCTGTGGAGACGCCAGAGTCTGACTTCGACTTTTCCTTTTCCAGCAATCAGACTTCTTGGAGGAAAGCCAATCTTACCTGCAAAATTGCCATCGACAATCTTGAGAAAGCAGAGCTTCTCCACGGAGGAGATTCCTTAAGGCAAAGGTATCTGATCTTTTCCTTCTGGGCTCTAATATCAGAAGAGGGAATCACTGGTATGAGGCAAACCTTGTAGGGAGCCCCCTCTTGTTCTCAACAAAACATTTGTACTTTATGGGTTTTTTTTTTGTTTGTTTTTTTGGTCTTTTTGAGACAGGGTCTCCCTGTAGCCCCAGCTGTCCTGGAACTCACTATGTAGACCAGGCTGGCCTTGAACTCACAGAGATCCGCCTGCCTCTGCCTCCCGAGTGCTGGGATTAAAGGCATGCGCCACCACACCAGGCTATGTACTTTATGTTTTTATAAAAATAATTTTTTGGAGGCAGGACCTCCTATATTCTAGGCTGACCTCATATTTACTATGTAGCCAAGAATGACCTTGACCTTCTGACCTTACAAGTGTATACTACCACACCAAGTTTGTGCCCTGTTGGGGATTCAACTCAGGGCTTCTTGCATGTTAGGCAAGCACTCTGTCAACTGAACTACATTCACAGTCCTAATTAATTTTTTTTTATAGTAGTGCAGATTGAACCTAGAGACTCATGTGTGAGGGAAAAGTGCTCTACCACTGAGCTACAGCCTGTCATCCTTAATATCTTTTTTTTTGGTCTTTTTGAGCCAGGGTCTCCCAGCTGACCTGGAACTCACTGTGTAGACCCCAGGCTGCCCTTGAACTCAGAGATCTGCCTGCCTCTGCCTCAGTGCTGGGATTAAAGGCATGCACCCCCATGCCCAGCTCTTTTATTTTATTTTTTTAATTTTTGTATATTTCATACATAAAATCATCTTTATACCCATACCCCCTTCCCCTTTGGCGCCCTCCCATAGCCCCCCCACAGGAGTTCATACGTTCTCATTTATATTAAGGCCTATTATGTAAAATTAGTGTCCCGAAATGCCCCTCAGTGCAAGTTCATCCACTGGGGTTTAGTCAGCCTATCTAGAGTCTCTCCCTTCAAGAAGATCAGCTCTTCCTCACCCAGCAATAATCTGCTGCCAATAATTTTTAGACTAAGATTGGGGCTTGCTGTTCATTTCCACAGTTCTGTGCTGGGCTTTTGTCTGCCTAAGTTTGCATGGGTCTTGTTCATGCTGACATCATTGCTGTAGGTTCATATGAGAAGGGTCCCTGGCACCTGTAGGACTATTTCTGTATGGTCATGTACCTCCTCCCTGGATAGCTCTTACTATCTTTCTGCTCCCTCTTCCACAAAAGTCCCTGAGGCCTGGGTGGGTGGACCTCAATATAGGAGTCCTGTCGAAGGACCACACTCTGCCGACTCTTATTCTCTGCGTTTTGGCCATTTGTGGCCTTTTGCACGAGGCCCTCTGTTGCATGAGGGAGCTTCACTGATGAGAACTGAAGGATGCATTAGTGTTCTCTTCATCCCGTGTTCTATGTTCCGTGAGTCTTAGGTGTAGAGGTTGCATCCTAGATGTGCCACTTAAGTTTGAGCAGTTCACAGAGAATCTCTGTGTATGACTAGTGGTTGTAACTCTGTAATAATCTGTCTGTTGAAAAAGAAGCTACTTTGATGGGTGGTGACTGGGATACTTGTCCGTAAATTTTAGGATCCGTATTTTGCACACAGTAAAAAATTACATTTGTCTAAGGATATGAGAGCCTTGGGTTTTCTCTAAGATTTATGACCTCTCCAGCTATGTGTGTTTGGCTAGGTTTACGGTACCACACATGAGTTTCCTCCCACTGAGTGGGCTTTAAGACCAATTAGGTAGCTGCTGATTACCCCCAAGATAAAAGTGCCACTACTGCACCAATGTCATTTGCTGTGCTGGTCATTGATGTGGTTTAGGCCTTGAAGCTGGGGTGGACCACTGATTGATGTTCTCCCTTAGAGCTTGCATAGTGCTCTCCAAAGCTATGAGAGCTAGCCTTCAGGGGAGGTGGCTTCAAGGTCAGTTCCAGCTCCATTGCTCCAAATTCTGTGTTCAAAGTATGTCCTGTCTTCAGCAATAGGGTCTTACCATCAAGTTCTGGGAGGGAATCAAGGACTGTGGCAATAGCCTGTATAATTTGGGGAGTCTCTTGGACCACCCTGGCCAAGAACTCAAAGGAAGGTTTCTCCGGTCTGGCACTGTTTCTTGTTATGTAGCCTTCAGCTATACTCATGGACTCATGTAGGGATACTGTATGTGTAATTTTTCAGGAGGTTTTTGGACTAATACGATTCTCCATGGTTTTTTATACTAGCTAGGCACTATTTATGTCTCCTCTTTCTCTCCCTGTCTTATCCTCCCTCCCCACCCTTCCCATTTAAAGTGCACACAAGGTATTTCATTGTATTGGCTAATTTTGTTTGCGGGTGTTTGCATTTCTAGTTTTCCAGCCTCTTGAGATGCTCAGGGCAGGCCTTGGCATGGTCACTTTGGAGTTGTCTCTGGAAGGAGTCGAAGCTTCAGGCTCTGAGCACTTGCTGCACATTGCTTTGCAGGCAGCAGCACCATTTCCATTCCTACTCACTGTCTCCAGAGTTGGGTCTGGGTCCATCCTTGACCCATTGGCTATGGTTATTTAAGAAATGTGTGCGTGGTGGTGCACACCTGTAATCCTAGCCCTTAGGAGGAGGAGGCTGGAGGCTTGTGCTTTCTAGGCCAGCCTGAGCTGTCTCAAAGCAAGAATAAAAATGTACTGGGCTGGAGAGATGGCTCAGCAGTTAAGAGCACTGGCTGCTCTTGCAGAGGATCCAGGTTCAATTCCCAACACCCACATGACAGCTAACAACTGTCCTAACTCCAGTTCCAAGGAGTGTGACACGCTCTTCTGACCTCCGAGGGCACTGGACAACAACATGGGTGCACTTACACATAGTATGGGCAGTGTATTCTTACACATAAAATAAAAATAAAATATTAAAAAGTACTAATGTGATAGGTTAAAAAAATGGTGCTTTCTCAAAGCAAGACTTTGGTTGATATTCCTCCTTCCTCTGGATGTCTAGGAAAACCACCAAAGAGAGCCTGGCCCACACGTCTAGTGCCATCACAGAGAGCCTCATGGGGATCAGTAGGATGATGTCACAGCAGGTCCAGCAGAGTGAAGAGGCCATGCAGACTCTAGGTAAGGCATTGAAAGCTCTTCCGGGAAGGCTGCTCAGAATGCCTGTCCTGGAACCTTGCTCCTCCAGCTCTGTACCCACGCTTCCCAGCCTGTGAGGCATCTCGCTCAGGAGACAGTGAATGAGACAGCTTGTTCTGAGCCAGGGTGGTCTGTGCTGCTCTTGTCTCTCCTTTCCGTTGTTGCATTGTACTAGACACAGTGTGTGCCATAGTGCTTGCTGGTGGAAACATTGCTGGGGCAGAGAAGAGCAGAGATCCTAGGCCTTTCTGGAGGCAGTGTCAGCAGCACTAGGCAAGGGGCCTGTGAGTCTGGCTTTTAGCAAGGGCTCTTGGATCTGGTATTGCCAGGCAGATTTGGGGTTGTCACCACTGACAAGACCATTAAGACTTGTTTATCCTTGTATTCTACCGAGTTACTTGCTGAGAGTTTCTCTTAAATGTACCATGCAGAGGCTGCTTGGGACCACCCAGTTCTTGCAAAGACCTCTCCTGTGGTGTCTTGTTAGAGAATTTGATCTCTAGGGTCCTTCAGTGTAGGAAAACAAAAAAGTAGCTTACTCTGTAAAACTTCACATGTTGGCCAAAGTAGAGGGTGTGGCGTGGTTAGTTCTTGACCCTGTCACCTTGCTTCCGTGGCTGACGGGTCAGCTCACAGCCCTTCCTCCACCCTCCACCCAGACGTCACCCATGAAAGTAGTGCAACACAGCTCTCTAAGAGATAATAATAAAATTATAAGATCTCTTTGGAGGAAACAAACAACAAAACACCCAGAAAATAATACTGTAATCACTCCTAAAACTATCTGTACTTTTGAAACAGTTTTTTTTTCATTGCATTATTCAAACAAGCAGACTTGAAAGGAAAACATACCAGCAACCCAAGGTCACTTGTGCATTTGAAACTTGTGGAACGCTTAGTCTCATCTTCCAAGTCTGCTTGCCCTTGGCCTGTACGTGCACCTTGGGAAAGTGAGAAGGGGCGAGGATTAGGGAGACAGCTGGGCTCTTGAGGCAGGACGATACAATTGATGTGGGCAAGAATGATACACAGGTGCTGATGGTGAGCTGGAAAGTCAGCAGTAGAGCGGGCTCCATGCTCAAGGTCTTGGGCTCCATCCCTAGCACTGTCAAATGCTGACAGTTTCTGAGATGTGGAGAAGGCCACAGTGTGATGGTTGCTCTTGTGTACACATTTGGTAGAAGAAAGCTATTGAAGAAAGAGGAGGGTACAGTTCTTAACCCTTTCCCGCGTGGTGACGCATTCCTTTAATCCCAGCACTTGGGAGGCAGAGGCAGGCCTGATCTCCACAATGAGTTCAAAGCTAGCTAGGACTACAGTGAGACCCTATCGCAAAAAAGATTTTTTTAACAATATTTATTATTATTATTAAAAAAAAAAATGCCTAGAATGGTGGCACATGCCTTTAATCCCAGCATTAGAGAGCCAGAGGCAGGAGGATCTCTGTGAGATGGAGTCCAGCCTGGTCTACATAGTGAGTTCCAGGCAGGCTAGGGCTATGGGAGACCGGGTCAATAAAACAAACAAAAAAAAACAAACAAAAAATAAAAATAAAAAAGATAAAATGGGATCTATATATGTAACACCAAATTTTCTAGTAGGTATGTTATAAAAAGTTTAAAAAATTATGAAGTAATTTTGATGCCTTTATTTAACCCATTACATGTAAAATATTACTATTTCAATATGCAATTAACAGTAGAAATTATTTTTTCTTTTTTTTTTGATTTTTTTTTTTTTTTTTTTTTTTTTGGAGACAGGGTCTCATTGTAGCCCCAGCTGGCCTGGAACTCACAGAGATCCACCTGCCTCTGCCTCCCAAGTGCTGGGATTAAAGGCATGTGCCACCATGCCCGGCTATTTTTTATTTTTTTAAAATATTTATTATTTTAATTTTTATGTGTATGAGCATGTCATGCAGTGCCCTTGGAGGCCAGAAAAGGGTATGAGATTCCCTGGAACTGGAGTTACAGACAGTTGTTAGCTTCTGGGATTAAAGGTGTGCACACCAGGCCCAGGTGTTCTTTCTTTTTTTGACCAGGAGCCAAAGTAGCCCAAGCAGGCCTCAAACTCCCTATGTAGTTGGGGATGACCTTGAACTTCTCATCTTCCTGCCTCTACCTCCCAAGTGTTAAGATTACAGGTGTGCTCCCACACACAGTTTTAGGGGAGCTAAGGTTGAAACCCAGGGCTGGCCTTGTGCATGTGTGGTAAGCACTCTAGAATGGAAGTATAAAACATATTTTATCTATTATTTTTACTTTATGTATATGAATATTGCCTGCATATATGTAAGGGCACCCTTGTCATCCAATGCCTGAGGAGGTCAGAGAGGGTGTCAGATCCACTGGATCTCTTAACTGTTGAGCCATCTCTCCAGTCCCTGTATTAATCACATTTTACCTACTTGGGAGCCATATATATTGTCATTTCAAAACAGTGACGTTTAGGACAGGTAAGATGGCTCAGTGGGTAAAGGCACTTGCTACCAAGCTTGACCTGAGTTCAATCCCTGCAAGTCACGTGGTAGAAGAAAACTTAACTCCTGTAAGTTTTCAGAACTGTATACGCATGTGGCACATGCTCCCCCAAACCCTCAAAGTAATCAATTTTAAAAAAACGTTTAGGGGCTAGAGAGATGGCTCGGCAGTTAAGAGCACTGATTGCTCTTGCAGAGGACCCAAGTTTGATTCCCAGCACCCACATGGCGAACTCCAGTTCAGATCCGATGCCCTTTTCTGGCCTCTGCTGGCATTGTATTCATGGCTGCACTTATATACATGCAGGCAAAACACTCATACACATAAAAAATTTAAACACCCATATTTAATAGTACAGAAAGAGGGGCTGGAGAGATGGCTCAGTGGTTAAGAACACTGTTTGTTCTTGCAGAAGACCCGGGTTCGAATCCCAGCACCCAAATGGCAGCTAACAGCTGTCCATAACTCCAGTTCCAGGGGATCCGACAGCCTCTTCCGTCCTCCGTGGGCATTGCACAACACGGGTGCACTTAACCTACATGTAGGCAATAGACTCATACACATAAAATAAAAATAATAAAATATTAAAAAGAAAATAGTACGGAAAGAATATAAAAAAGACAACTTTCCCTTCTGACCTCCACCTGCCCCTACCTCTGGCCCTGGCCCTTAGATCTACTTCCCAGAGGTCACTCCTGTTACCAGTTCCTTTTCTGTCCTCTGAGATACTTCAGGCATTATCACAAGCAAACGAAGCATTATAAAACCCTTTTCTTAAACACGTGGAAGCAGACGCCCGTCCACTTTGCCTTCGTGCTCTCTGCATTCACACTGGATATTCCTGTGCTCTGTGGAGAACCTGGAAAGATAGACCTTTGCCCAAGTGTCAGACTCAGATACCTGTGCTCACAAGTATGTTTGGCTGAGCACAGTAAGCCCTCGTGGGACACAGGGCTCTTAGGTGTCACACAGTGACTGGGGTTTGGTATCACACTTGTGTCCTGGTCCTGAAGGGCTGGTATATGGGAAAGCTTGTGTCAGAACCCATGTGGTCCTACAAAGAGCAGGTCTAACCAGTAGATACTTAGGATGTGCCACACCTCACAGATAGAAAGTGCTGGAGCCTCCCAGCCCCCTCTCTGTCACAGGCCTTGCATCGCCCATCCTCCGCCACCCATGTCAGTCCCTTGCTCTTGGCTCCTCTCAGCACTGCACCTCTGCTTCCAAGACCTGAGGCTAGTGGCTAGTGAGCCAGCTTTCTCCTTCCACTGTCCGTGTTCAGGAGCTCCTAGACGGACGTCGCACTGGATGAGCCAGCCCTGTTAGGTCCTTGTTCGATGTGCTCCTCTGGGTGGTCTGCATCCATACCTGCCTTGGCTCAGAGCCACTGGCCTTTAGAATGCAGGCCTCGTTGACAGCCAGCCAGCAGATCGAGCTCTGGCGGCTAGGCTACATTCTGAGTCAGGCTCTCTTCCTCTTCTATTTCAGTCAACTCTTCACGAACTATCCTGAATGCAAATGAAGAATTTAAGTCCATGTCTGGGACAATCCAGCTGGGCCGGAAGCTCATCACAAAATACAAGCGCCGAGAACTGACAGACAAACTGCTTATCTTCCTCGCTCTGGCCCTTTTCCTTGCTACAGTTCTCTATATTGTGAAAAAACGCCTCTTTCCATTTTTGTAAGATGAGAGGGGTGAGCTTTGGTCCCTGGCACCCCTGATTCAGGATCTGTCCAGGCTCTCAAGGGCTGGCCAGGCTGCCAGACTAAGCTGCACTTCCCAGTTTGCTCCTGTTGCTCAGTGGGTTGGATGGAAGGAAACACAACTCCCTAGTTTTCTGCAAGTGACTGGCTTGGAAAATGTTAGAGCAGTGGACAAGTGGACAACAGGGTCGCCTACGGGACCAAGGGCCTCCACGCTCACCCAGCTGTCAAGCACTTTGGCTCTCACATAGAACACTTCAAGCCTGGGATTTGATGCTCCTCCCCCTCCTTGTCCTACTGAGGCTGAGGTATAAGTGCCATGTCTGGTGGAGGGGAGAGAGGGTGAAAACTTATGGCCATTCCCGGAATAAACTTGATTGTGTTTAATAAAATGAAGTTCGTCTAATTTTACAAGATACCTCTCAGAGTGTGTGTGCCTCTTGATGTTCTGATTTCTAGGACACGAATTTAGATTCATTCATTCAACAGCTGGTGAGATGGCACAGTGGCTGGTGAGAAGGCACTCACCACCAAGCCCAACAATGTGAGCTGGTCCATTCCCAGGACCTGCATGCTGGAAGGAGAGAACTGACTCCAGCAAGTTGTCCTCTGTCCTCTATATGAGCTGTGACATTGTGTCCCCCTACCCCCATAAGTGAAAAATTATTAAAGAATTGTTGAGCAGCTGCCACAGGCTGCCTCCTAGACATTGCCAGATGTTACACATGCATTGGTAAAGCCGACAGACTGCCTCCCTCCAGCAGCAGCAGAAGTGAGCTGTCACAGAGTTGGTGAGCACAAACAGCCGCCGTAGGAGAGCCCACAACAGCTTCTGAAAACAGTGAAGCTGAGGTTTCTCCCACTGCAGCCTGGCAGGGGCTGGGGAAGTCGGGGGGGAGGGGGGGGACTAAGCTTATTGATTCCCTTCTCTCTGAGGTCCAGATAAGTGTAGCACAGAGAAGCCAGTGAAGAGCTAGAGCCCATCTGGGCCAAAGTTGAGACCAGGGTGCAGGTTCCCAATGACGCCAGCCCTGGTGTCTCCTTATGCTGTAGGCCCAGGTGACCCATACTGAAGTCTTTTTAAAAATTCTATTTTATTATTTTTATTTTATGTATATGAGTGTATTGTCTGCATGTGCGTAAGTGTAATGCCCATGGAGTATTAGATTCCCTTGAAACTGGTTGTTAGCCACCATGGTTGTTAGCCACCATGTGGGTGCTGGGAATTGAACCTGGTCCTCTACAAGAGCAGTCAGTGCTCTTAACCACTGAGCCATCTCTCCAGCCCTGAAGTCCCCTTTCTATCTATAGCCCCACAGGACTTGGGAGGTAGAAAGGTAGGTAGAAAGAATGTGAACTTGCAACCCTGACTAAACACTTGGTTTTGACTTTGCCTTTACTATCCAGGCCACATAATTGTGAGCAAATTGCCTTATGTCGCTGTGCCTGTTTCCCCATTTCTACAGTGGACGTGGTGGTCCAGATGGAGCCAGTTTGAATCAGAGCGAATACAAAGTGGCAGATATGGTTCCCTCGTTACTGAGCTTTAAGGTGGGCTTTTCAACTGCTGCCACCCTGGGAGCCCTGAGCCATGAGGGGGTCCTCCAGCTGCATGAAAAGCCACCCGGTAAAGACAGTTCTGTTTAGATCCGTTTGAGCAGAGGACATCATGAGTTAAGACCTCTGCTTTGAAGGGATGATTGCCTTGGGACCAAGTTATTGGTGTATACCTCTGACTGACTTAATGAGTACATTCTAAGTGAAAGTGTGTGTGTGTATCAGCAGTCCTGCATTATTTTTAAAAACTTGGGGGGAGGGATTTGTTTTTATTTATTTATTTTTGGCCTTTTTGAAGCAGGGTCTCCCTGTAGCCCCAGCTGTCCTGGAACTCACTATGTAGACCAGGCTGGCCTTGACCTCAGAGATCCGCCTGTCTTTGCCTCCCAAGTGCTGGGATTATGGGCATGCACCACCACACCTGGCTTATTTTCTATGTGTGTTTTGCCCGCTTGTGTGTAAGTGCACCCAGGTGTGCAATGCCTGTGGCGGCCAGAAACGGGTATCAGTTCCCATGAAACTGGAGTTATAGACAGTTGTTAGCCGCCATATGGGGGGGCTGGTAACCAAACCCCATCCTGTACAAGAGCAGTCAGTGCTCTTAAACCGTTGAGCCATCTCTCCAGCCCTGGACTACCTCTAGTGAATGACTCAAACCTGGGCTAGCATAGAATCCTATGTACTGCAGCAGTTAGTCTGATGATTGAGAAGACCTAAGAGAGTAGTGGGTGGGTTGCCTATAGAGGATACACTGGACAAAGGGATGGTTCACATCATGGAAGGATGGAGCTAACTGTTACAGTTAGCTTCATTTATCAACTCAACACACCTAGGAAGAGGGAGCCGCAATTGGATTTCCTCCATCTGATTGACCTGTGGGCATGTCTGTGAGGCATTTTTAAAATTGCTAATTGATGTAGGAGGGGCCAACCCACTGTAGGCATTGTCATCCCTGGGCAGCTGGGCCTGCATTGTGTAAGGAGGGTAACTGAACAAGCCAGTGAGCAGCATTCCTCCAGGGTCTCTGCTTGAGTTCCTGCCTTGGCTTCTCAATGATGAACTGTGGCATGGAAGTGTAAGCCAAATAAACCCTTTCTTCCCCAAGCTGCCTTTGGTCAGTGTTTTACCATGGCAGTAGAAAGTTAATAGGACATCTACTAAGCATGGTGGGCAATTTAAGACCCATGAACTATTCAGTTCTGAAATTTTCCATTTAATATTTTCAGGCTGTAGTCGACTGTGGAAAGCAAAACCACAGATAAGGTGTGTCTAGGAGGAATTCCTGCATGTGCGCGCGTGCACACACACACACACACACACACTCAATTCTTGGCCTCAAAAGACGCTTGGTGCAAATTGTACACATGTGTCTTATTTATAGTCAAATTACTGCTGAGAATAAAGCGCTGATGGGAAATTCCCACTCAGATTCCAGCTGTAAGTGCAGCAGGTGGCTCCTATCATGGAGGATTTTTCTTGTCTTAACATTTCTCTTTACTCCTTCCCACTAATTGTCAGCATCCTCACAGTATGGAAATGTGTGGGCTCTGTACTCCCCAAAAATTCTCCCTTCCATACTTCATTTCTTTCAGTTGCCTCCTGAAAATAGAGTTGGGTTTGACCTATTTTGAAATGTCATCAGGAACACATCTTAGCCACCCAGCTTGTCTTCCTCAGCCGTTGTCTGCGTAGAACGCAACCTTCCATCCTAGCCATGAGGGGGCAGTGTCCACACTTTCTGCACTCTTGTGAGGCCTGATGTCTCTACTGACCCATGGAAAGTTTCTCATCGTTCCTTAAAACAAAGCTTGCCTATGTTTTGGTTTAGGGATATGCTCTGTAAGGTGCCCTTAGTTTTCAGTTAACCTCCAGGCAAGCTCATATACTGCATTTTTATTTACCAAGAAGAATGGAGTTAAAAATATAGAATACCCTTCAAGGGGTTTGTTCAATAGATGTTTGCTAAGCACCTACTGCATGCCAATCTATGCGTTAGGGATACACAGTGAACAAAAGTAAAGATGCCCTGTGTCGTGGAGCCCGTGTTATGTGGTGGAGGGGAGCAGATGATAGATGATTTACAAGTGAAATAAGTCATTATGTCGGACAATGAAGATGGTCTTCTGTATCCTTGGGCCCTGGATCTGTAGATTCAACCAACTTTGAATAAAAAATAATCATATATGTGGACTTGTTATTACCCTCTGAGTAATGCAGCATAACCAGAATTTCCACAGCATCTACATGGCCTTAGGTATGCTGCATCATCCAGAGACAAAGTGTACACAAGAGTACACATGGTTTAGACACTGGTACACCATCCTGAAACCGTTCTCATGATACCAAGAAAGAACCGGAAGCTCCTTGGGGGAAAGTGGAGCACCCTACAGGCATCTGGGGTTGAGGGCAGATGTGTAATATTAACAAGAGTGGTCAGCATTGGCTTCATTGGGTGAGATGTGACTAAGGCAGGGGAAGTGAGTCACGTGGACAGCTGATGGAAGAGGGTCCCATCAAGAGAGGCTACCTCCCAGCAGCTGTTGGCTCAGGGGCATTGGTTCTTCTGGAAGCTTCCCCAGTCATCTGATGCCACACCGACTTGGTGTCCCCCCGCCCCCCGCCTTTTCCCACACTTCTCTGGCAGCTTATTATTATTATTTTTGTCTTTTTGAGACACGGTCTCCCTGTAGCCCCAGCTGTTCTGGAACTCACTATGTGGACCAGGTTGGCCATGAACTCACAGAGATCCGCCTGCCTCTGCCTCCCGAGTGCTGGGATTAAAGGTGTGCGCCAGCACACCCAGCCTCTTATTCTTTTTTTGTTAACTTTTTGTGCAGCCTTAAACACCCACTTAGATCTGGCTCCCTCTATTCCCTGTATAAGCTCTCAAAGGTGAGGTCCGTGTCCCCTCAGCTCTAGTCATCTACAGGAAGAATATCAATGATCCCGAAGTTACAGCAGCAACACAGCAGTCTCAGGGGTGCTCAGCAACCCCAGGCATCTCTGTTCCGTGGCTGCTATTGATGATCCTTACCTCCCACCTCCCACCTGGCCCTCTCCAAGCATCCCTGTCCAAGACACTTCTAGACCCTGATGGGGGCTAAGGGTATACCATCACAAAATGTGAGTGTGGGAAGCCAGAATATGTCACTCAAGATAGACATTTCTGGCAGGTTTTGGGCTAGTTATGCTGAGAAATCACCAGTGCTGGAGTGACTCTGAAAGCTGTGTTTGTGCAAAGTATCTACAACTATAAGAAAAACTGCATTAATGTCTCTGTGGGAGCGAGGGCCACTCCGGACACCTGACTCCCTGGATGGCATTATCTGCATATGGCAACCCGAAGTCATCACCATTTCTACCCTTTGCTCCCAGACCTGCTCACTATATAGTCATATGCTAAAGGAGCATCAATCCCCCATCTCAGATTCATAACCAAGTGTGATTTTGCTCTTGGGAATCTATTCTAATTTAATTTGTAGTTTGGCCTGAGAGCCTAGAAGCCTGGAGGAAAGCCACATCGCCCTTTCTTCATCAACCCCATCCCCTTGGAGCCTTGTTCCACCAAACCAGGAAGCTAGACTTCACTTTACTGCAACAGACATGTCGATGGTGTTTGAAGAGAGGCTGTGGATCTGTTGTGTTGGTGAGTGTAGGTAGCCCCAAAGTCCAGAGGAGGATTCTGCAGCAGGACTCAATTTAGAAGTCCTTTTCAGGGCAAAGTTTTTTTTTTTAAAGATTTTTTTTAAAAGATAGCAACACAAGTTCTCTTTTCTTCGTGGGCTAATGATAGTCTTCCCTGGGCCTCTACCCATGGCTTTGCCCAAGCTGTGCTGCTTTCCTGAGCAAGGGCAGAATAAA